AATGGATGGAGACATTCTGGTCACCACTCGCACCCTTACACGCAAACAAAGCTATCTGTGTCCTTTAATGCCACAGCATTGTTGCTTTTGGGATATTTCTTGTGAAACAACGCAGCAGAATGTAAGAAACCGAAGTGCGCGCGCTGCCATGTTCGCTTAAATTTGAACCACCCGCCAGATCGTTTTGCCCCGTAGATTAAGTCGAGTCCGTTCCCCATCCCTTGTATCCTCTTTATGCGCAGAACCTTGAAGGACTCGATTGGCTCTGAGAGCCATAAACAGCCTCAGCAAGACATGTACCCAACCAGCCCGTGAGCTGCAACGCATCATACGTATCCAGGTGAGCCGTTTGAGCACGCTCGTGTATTCCATATGCTTGCTCTCAACATTCCTCCGGAAGACCCTGGCCGTAGCTTCTTGACCTAGAAGTGCGCGGCTTGAGTCGGCCACATGGAATGAAGAGACCGAGCGCTGATCTTTTCTTGTTTGTCTTGCTTACACAACCAGCTCAAAGACATTGCTAACCTCGTCGTATTCCCTTCCTATGCTCTGCATGTGCGCTTCTGACAATGGACTACGTGCCAAGCAGCCAAGGTTGTCACAAGGCACCGTCAATTCCAGGTGTGTCCTTAGTTTAAGCGCGCCATTTCTACGCCTTTTATACTTGCTCTCGACATTCCTACGGAAGACCATGCCCAACTGCTGCTAGCAGAAGTGAGCGGGTGGTGTCTGCCACACTGAATGAAGAGACCGAGTGATGCCGCATGTAGGCAATTTACAGCTTAGACGGATAGCCGTTTGACAGCTTCTAACTCTGCCTTACTGCCTTTCATTGCCTGCATGTGCGCTTCGGACTATGGGCTACAAAATCAAGCAGTCAAGGCCGCCGTGACAAGCCCGCCCACCGTAATCCATCAGGTGGGTCATTTGCATGCGCGGATTCTGGACTCCCCAACCTTGCTCTTGACATTCCCTCGGAGGACCGTGCCCAAGGGCTTTTACAAGATGCCAGCGGGTAGTGTCCGCCACACGGAATGAAAAGACCAAGTGCTGCTCAATTTTTGCGATTTAATTTCAATACAGGCCCCTAAAACGATATCTAACCTCGCCCTACTTTTTCAATGCTATGCATGCTCGCTACTTTGTCCACCATGGACTTTTGGCTACACCGCCGCCCCCTCAAGACGATACCACGGCAGCAGGAACTCTAGCAGGTAAAATACGGTAATTTAATCGCCAGAATGCTATGCCACCCCGTTAAATTGCCTGCCTTCCCATGCCATGTAGGCTGCGCCATTTATGGCCCCTAAACGCAAGTCGCCCGAGAATTTAACGCTACTTGGGCGCCTGACCTTTTTCCTCCAGAAAAGACTCGAGGTTATTGAGGTAAGGCGGTGTTAAATTTCCAGCCTTGCAGTTGTAAATGGTTCACGCATAATTATCTTTCTTTCCATGCAGCGCCAAATCTGCGGTGGGGAAGGAGTGGAAGGCGTGTACGGGTCACTGACAATTGCAACATTAACTATAGTCCTACTGGTTCTTGTCAGAGCTGGCCTCCTACGCACGAACAGCGTCTTCGGGGACATCGGGGCTGGTGTTGGCAGGTGGGAAATGTGCACTGAAGTACGACGCTCACACATGTACTACAACTGTCGTACCTCGCTTTAACTTTGTTTACCTTCTTTCAGGACCCTGGTAATAGTCGCGTTCTTGTTCGGAATCAAAAGCATTGGCTGGGAATTGGATAAAGTAAAACGAGGAAAGGCCGAGAATTTTATTGAGAGGTTCCAGCCGCATGTTGACAAATACAAGGTGAAAGATCCTTGGAACCATTTAGAAGCCGACGTTAATTCTCTTCTGACAGCGTACAAAACACCAGAGTGTTTTTCCTGCAAACCAGACAACAGCGACGTGAGTGTACATGGTTGGGGCACGCTAGACAGGGCTTGAACCCGGCCCTAAAAGTGCCCTGATTGTTTAAAGCCGCCGTTTTCCTTGGTATTTGGCAGGTCAATTATGAAGATGTAACAGTCCTGTTCTCTTTTTGGGAGGGATTTGGTGACAAGGAAAAGGTCACTAAACACATGAAGACCGCTACTCAGCTCGAGGTGATTTGAACAGCTTGCTATTACCCTTTGTTGCATTGGTTCATGCTGATTTAACATGTTTCCTTGCCTCGCAGGCTCTTATTATCGTACAAAAGCATGAAGCTAAACCTGTCGAATTCATGGCAGGCTTAGGATTCCCCGGACTCACCCTCCTTACAAGATTGCCAATAAGAACCTCAGGTCTGATAGTATGCACGCTTAGTTGCTGGTTGGTTTCCCGTTAGCAATAATTATCTTACCAGACCTCGTCTTCTTGCAGGTGCCAACCAGACGTTTCAAGCATATATCTTCCTTACAAGTCTTGGCAAGTCCAACATGCTACCAGAAGTTAAAATACAGGAACAGGCAGGTTCAATATCACTAACGTACCCGTGTATTCTGTATGCTGCCATATATGTCATGCTCTGGTTAGGGTACGTGTTTTCGACTCACTGTTGCCCTGGCCTCCCCCTCCTGTTTAGGAATTCCTACCTCCTGCAGTGTACGACCTGCCCGTGAATGACCATACTCCGTTGTTAATTAAAATGATGCAAGAAGACGAACAGGCCAAAAAGGTAAGGCCATGATAACAGTTAGATATGAGTTACAGTATCTTGTTAGCTTCAGCGCAACCTCAAAACCACGGCATGTCGCATGGCTGCAGGCTCGGACCCTGATTCCTCCCAAAGAAGCCATTATTGCGCCAAGCCCCAATGCACAACAAGGGCAAGAGGTACGTTCCTGCTAACGAACCCTGACCTTTCATAAGCCACAAACATCAAGCCTAACTGGTCCCCTAGATAATAACTGTGCATCTGGCAAAAGGCAGCTAGTTACCATCAGCCAGAGCAAGTGGAATGCCGGTAATAGGTGTATTGCATGGCAAAAACCTCTCATCTACCCTTTCTCTATTTAGCATGACAACCACCCGACTGTACTCCTCCGCATTCTGTTTTTTGTTAGCACGGCAATCCCCCCAGTAGATGTGGCTTGCGGTTAGGCATGTTCCACAGTCACATATGTGCATCGCCGGAACACCCCGTTCACCTTCTACCATGTCTAGCTGTGCCGCATCCATCTCCTCCACGGGACACCAACTGTTATCCCATTTCCGGACCTTCTTACGATGGTTGCGTATGACAGTCTCGGACGGAGGGCCATGCACCATCCATAAGATTAACCGGTGTACATACTCCGTCTTGCTCCTTGGTTGCAGCTTCAAGGTGATGTATCGTAGCTTGTTTTTGTCATGGTGTTGGCGTTGTACAATACACTTGGCAACTGCTTCCGTGTTTGCAGCACAGTTTAGCCCGTCAACCAGTACACAAAGGCTGCGCCAGCGTGTTAGCACCTCGTCGTCCTCTTGCGGTCTTAGGTGCAAAGGATATAGGAGCAGGCAAGCCCAATGAACGTCCAAAAGACTCAGGTTAGGGCAGTTAATTTTATTGTGTAGCTTGCTCACGGCATGACACCAGTAACCGAGCTGCCAAGGTGGTACGTACTGATCGGGAAACTGCTTCTGCAAGCACGCATGAGCAACATAACCCAATGCTTTGAAGGCTCGAGCACATAGATTGCTGATGCTTCCATCCCATAGAGCTGTGGTGCCCTTGGCAGGATCAAGACGCCGAAGGACACGCAGCAAACTGTATGGGCGAATGTTGCCAGGCTGCAGTTCCAGTAGCTTTTCGATTGCTAACTCTGATGGTCCTGCTCGCATGAAGCTTTCTCCCAACGAGTTAGGAGGTGGGCACTTATGTTCCTTGTTGCCAGTCTTGACAGGCTTGACTCCGAACGGCAGTTTAGCCACTGCGGCCATGTCGTACTCCTCCCTCCGACCAATAGCGTTGATGTCACATTCTGCCTGGTCCTGAATGGATACGAGTTGCTAATTTAATAAACCACCTGTTGATGCAGTTGACGACAAGTTCTTACATGCACCTGGCCGGCGGCATCGGCCGCATCCCTAGCATCCATACTTCAGTGAATAGCTCGTGTTTGCCTTATTGTTATAATGGAAATCCTAATACCTAAATGGTCAAAGAAAGCGTCCTTATTAAGAATCGATGTTCTAGTCGCAAGTGCCTTGGTAGTACACCTTAGTACTATGGTTCATGTTATTAAGCTGCGCTAATGAGACATTGTATTTGATAAAGTTGTTGTGTTGCCACCAACTTAGAAGCGCCTCCTAAGAATCTGTGTCGTACCACTACCATTCTTGAAGGAATACGAGTCTTTGCACTTTTCTGAGAGAGGGATTTCATTGCCACCTACTTTCACCCTTTCAATTTAGGATGATGCCTTTGAGCAGCTCGCCGAAGAGCCCCAGCAAGATTGCGCTGCTCTTGGGACGGCCACTCTTCAACCCGCTAGTGCGGACTTTTCAGATGTGCTGCCCACCACCGAGCACAACAAAGCACCACAGCTGGACCCGGTACAGCAGGTACGCAGCAAAGGCTGTTTTAGGTTAAACCAAGGATGTAAGATACCTACCGCCGTACATGAGGCCTTACATAACCAAACGCATTTCTTTAATCCAGGACGGCACTCAACCAGCTCAAGACACCCAGGTCGACGGCGCTGTTGAGACCCAAGCCGCCACCTCCATCAATGGCACTGGCTCTGGCGGCGGCCTTACAGCGCTACCACCCGGGCCCTCCTCTGTGCTGATGCATGGTTACACTGGCTACGGCCTTACAGGTTACGGGGACCAGGTAAGCTTGTCCAATGATATTAAACTGTACCTATATGCAGCTCGTTCTCCTCCAAAACGTAGTTCTGGGTGTTAGACGGTTTCGGTTTCAGGATTTGAGGACTACTTGCATTACCCCTGTCAGAGCAGAACGATATAGATTGCAGTCCTCCTCCTGGCATAATGATTTACACCGGCCCAATACGTGCAGGCTTTCTTCTCCAATTCGAATCCTCTGAGCACCTTCCTCTCTACGCCGGCTGGTAACCCATTCCTGGTACGTATTGCAGGATTCTTTTGGAGGGATGAACTAGGCAGGCTAGATTGTATTTTCCTTTCCCATTTTGGCATAACTATTACATGCTTATTCAACCACAGGCGGCACGGGCACTGAGGTTGTACGGCAAGCAGACAGCCAATGTAGTCATGGAGACCGAGCCCCAAGCTGCGGCAGACATGCTTGCCCTTCTTGCGTGTACGGACCCCAAGTCTTGCCTAGTGGAGTTGGTCAGGCTCAAGGACTTTCTGTCCAAGCCCAGTGCGCCCGGCCAAGGCAAGGTTGCTGCAGAGCTGGTGATGCATGCCCCTATCCTGCTCACCACGCTACTGGGCCAGGAAGCCTATGAGAACTTGTCCAAGACTAAGGGCCAGGCACGTGTCAATCTCCTTCAAGCCATGCTCCACCATCAGCTTGCTGGATACAACGGCAAATGCAATGAGAAGGTGAGTTCTGCTGCGGTTAGTGGAATGCTCTAGCCTGCATGGAGGGACGTTTTTGAGTGCTGTGCTCGAAGGGCTTTGTCAAATGTAAGCAATTACGTACCGCTGTTCATAGCTTACACATACGTCTTTGCTGTGATTTGTGCTTTTTCCTGATATGTATGAAACGGACCTGATGGCATGCCAAATAATCACTGGTCCGCAGTTGGGCTGCACGCCCTCAGTGGAGCCCCTGCCTCAAGATCGACGGCTTTCATTTGGTGTGGCTGCCTCTTCAATGGCTCCAACTATGATGCGGCCTAGGCCTTTCAGTCCCTCAGCGGCCGCCAGGACAGCTGCCCCGCCCTCAGGCCGTCCATCGTTGCCTGCCAGCTTCAAGGTATGAAAAGGGGAACAGAACGACAAGGAATGTGCTCTTTTGCTTGTTAGGATCTGCTATATAACTAGCCAAGTAGGCTGCCTGCTGCGTACAGCCCGCATAAAGTTAATTACAACCAGTTTTGATGGCTTACTGTCTTCATTTTCCCCCTTAATGTATACAGAACGAGGGTGTGACGTACAAGCAGAACAAGCTCGTGCCCTTCATCTTTGTCAGCACGTGTGGCAGTGTCTCCCGGACAACATCAGAGGGCATCAAGGTGCTAGAGGCCAAAATCCAGGTCGGCACCGGGCACCTTGTTATCAAGACAAGGCTAGCTGCTGGCAAGAACCCGAAGGAGGTCCAGGTGCGGAGGCTTGTAGCCTCGACCTTCATGTCCTCAGAGGATCTGGGGCTGCTGGGCCTGACGTCTGCCTCTGACCTCAAGGGGCACTCGTCTGGCAGTCATCAACTTGGCACCAAGGATGGTGACAAAACCAATGTTGCCCTTGACAACTTAGTCATTAAGAAGCGCGGCTGATTATTGCGCCTTATGCCAGAAAGCATGAGATGATCTAAGCTAATTTCATGTCGTACGAAATGCATGGTCTTTGCAGGATTAGAGAGACAACAACTAATGCAGGGGTGAAATTGCTGAGAAATGCAATTATTGAAGTCCGTTATGTCGTAGAATATGACACGTAATATTCGATGTTTGGCTGCAGGTGTTTATCGTGCATAGGTTGGTAAATATGGTTTCTTTTTTTGGAAACGTGCCTACGGACTTGCTTGGGATTACAGGATTGGATTCTTAATTAAATTCCACTCTTCGAGAGAGAGAGAGAGAGAGAGAGCATGAGATCGCTAAGCTGCGTGCAGGGCAGCCATTGTAAACCCTTATCCATGCATAGCTGAGTAATGAACCCAACTGAATTCGGGCACAAGTAAGCAGCGTGGCAGCATGATACTGGCAGCGTGAACAAAACTCTTCAGTTCACAAATTTATATCTTTGCCAATACTTAACCGTTTGACACACGAACATAAGCAGCGGCCTCAGCTAGACACATAGATTACGGGGGCACACTCCTTGCAGTTGCCCCATTGATGGCGAGCACAGGAAAAATGGGCAAAAACCGTTGTTCGTTATCACTAAAGGGGCCTTGCTACGCCCCGCCATGCACCCTAGCTACTGGCGCAGGTTCCAGTGTTGCAGGAACCGCCGCATGTACGAAAAGCGCAGCTTGGGAACCTCCTCCGGTGTCAGCTCCGGGATGGGGAGCCCCAAAGACAGGTGCTCCGCAAAGAAGATAGTGTAAACACCGCAGTCGTCCGTGTTCCCCTGCTGCGGAACCTCCACCAGCTTTACGTCCCACGTCCGCATGTCCAGGCGCACACGGTGGCGTACAGCTGCCTCACGCTTAACCCAGTGCTTCAAGTTGTTGACGAGCTCCATGTAGTCGTGCAGCTCCCTCTTCATCTGTGGCATGCATGGATATATCAAGGAAACTGCTTTACTGATGTTTTATTCTCGGTAATTATTTGGAAATTGTCAGAATTATGGCAACCGATTATATTTATACGGGCCCAAGTAGAGGGAAGGAATCAGTGTTTTGCGCTGTCGAGGATCCAAAACGATTATCCTAACGGAAAGCCCTAAAACTTACCGAGTCATAGACGCGCACTGCCTGCTTCGACATGTTGATCTCCACCAGGAACCAGTGGTTTTGGCTGAAGTGGATTGGCACCAGGACGAATTCCATCTCGTGCACCGGCGGCAAAGCCAAACCCACCTGCATAAAGAACGGACAAGGAAAATGTTTGCGAATTATAATTGATTTTAAATTTAATTAAGGCGTCCTATACAGCGCTGTTTAACCCAGTAGTAAGATTCCCACGTATCTACCTGCATCTTTTGCAGGCGCTCAGGTTTGGTCCAGCGCTGGACACGATACCACTTGGCCCTAGGCCCCTCCTTGGTCAGCTTCCCATAGAAGAAAGACGACAGGAAGAGGCTGATGCCCGGGCCCCTATACAGCCGGCCCCTCCGTACCGTGAAGTTCCTCACCTGAAAAGGAAATCAAGGATAGGTGTAGCAGGTACAGAAGATCAAATTGGGAAGAGAATACCTTGGGGCTGTTCATTGGGGCCGGAAAATGAATAGGTTAAAAACGAACGTAAAATAAATAAAATACGAGCAATACTATGGACGACTCCTTACATTCCAACCGCACCTGCATGAAGGTAACGGCCGCGTTGATCAGTTCGTCGTTTAGCCAGGACCCGTTGCCAGGAAGACCAGGGGCAAGGCGCCGAAGGTCCTGCCGCCTAAGCTTGAGGTTTATGCCAAACCTCGCCAGGACGTCCGTGGGGCTGCCTTGACCATCGAAAATGGCAAGGGCAGCGTCCTGCTCCTTTTTGCTGGCAGATTTGAAGTATGCGAGCGCCCCTCGTGGAATGTCATCAAGCTTACCATGGCGAGTAACCACCTCCTCCTCATTGTCAGAGTCGCTGCTCACGTATTCACCATCCCCCTTGCTTCCCCCTCCCTCGCTGTTGCTGCTTGCATCGCTGTCAATCCCCTCAGCCCCCTCAGCCCCCTCAGCCCCCTCAGCCCCCTCAGCCCTCTCAGCCCCCTCAGCCCCCTCAGCCCCCTCAGCCCCCTCAGCCCCCTCAGCCCCCGTAACATGACTGGTGACAGTGGGACGTGACCTCTTCATGGGTGGCAACCCAACACCATCTTCGATCTGATGAAGGCCAGCCGCGACGTCACCAGCAGCTGCCACCATGCTGTCACCAGCAGTGGCCACAATCGGAACAAGGTCACCACTTGACCCCACGAGCTCGCAGCCGGTTGCAGCTGCTGCAGGCTCTGTAGCAGCGGCGGAACCACTTGACCCCGCAAGTCCGCAGCCGGGTGCAGCTGCTGCAGGCTCTGCAGCAGCAGCGGAACCACTTGACCCCGCGAGCTTGCAGCCAGTTGCAGCTGCTGCCGTGGCCTCGACATGGGTGGTGGCAGGAGGAGCCACATAGCCACCTGCCAGTTGCTGAGGCACCGATGACGCCATGACCTCCAGTGCAGAAATCAACTCCACCAAGGGCTTCATGGCCTCCTCGTTAGGCCAAGCCTGCTTGTTTCCCCTCCCAGCATCATTCTCGCTCCTGGGTTGGGTTTTATGCAACGGGGTTTAATGGAGGTTAATGATGTGGTAAAGTTTTAGGCTTGGGCTTTAATCAATAATTGTCCCTGTCTCTTGCCCTTCAACAACGGTCTCTGCCTCTTGCCCCAAACAATGATCCCTGCATCTTGGCCCCCAAAATTACGTACTTGAGCTTCTTGAGGCAGGCAACAATGGCTGGCATGTCGAATCCCGCTTGCACGCGGTCAAATGCAGACTTGATGAACCAGGCCACATGCATGGCTGCCAGGTTCTTGGGCTGCAACGGCGGCAAGCAAATAAGGTTGGGGAGGCTATGGTACTTTATACGACTGCCACTAAACCGCCACAATCCCCGTGTTTGAACACATTACTGTATGGCAAAAAGAGCACCCTGCTTACCATTGAGGCTGTCGGTGCCCACTCAATTGCTTGCAGCCACCATGTGGGAATCTCCACGAAGTTTAGCCCCTTTGCAAGCTGCCGCATGGGAGTAATTATGTTGCGGAGCTGGATGGTCTTTAGGTTGAAGGGATACAACCAGTCCATCCATTTGTTGAGCTCTGTGGGTCACAGCCAAGATATGGAAGCAATGTTAAGGGAAAGGCTCGTCAATAGCTGTCCAAACAAAGGTAGCTTAGAAGGAATGCATGGTGTCCCCTGCAAACCATAACGTCAACACAGAGTTAAGTTGTGTAGGTCATGTGGCTGATATACAGGATACCTACCGGGGTACATCGTGCGTGCATCATGCGCCCCCTCCGGTGCGATCCCACTGCCATTGCCACCCAACTGGGCATGGGGAGGAGCAGCATGATACTGGATTCCCAGTGATAGGAACAGAACGGATTTGAGAAACTCCAAGACCGGCAGAAGGCGACCAGACCATTCCACGGAGACCTCTGAGAGATGCTGATCGATTATATTGTTTGTCGCTGAACACTGAAAGTTCGTGGCACCCGTCGCAAAGACATCTACCGACATGGTGAGCGTCGCAGTCCTAGTGCCGGCAAGCAAGCACTCGTTTTGCGGGATGGCATCTCCTGGCGAGTCAGGAGAGCCTGCTAATTCTCTTGAATTAAATCCTTCCATCAGGGCCGACGTTTTATGTGTCGCCGTCGGCAGAATCTTAAGGTTCCGGGTCCTTTGTCAATGCGAACAGCTTAACCCAAATTGACAAAAGTATAATAGGATGCCAAATTCGGCTGCTAATAATTGAAGTTTGCTGTAAAGGTGAAGACGGGGACGCTACGCTTGCATCACTCGTCGGTACCAGGTAACTAGTTAACCCGGTAGATTATAGCCCACTTCAATCTTTTGTAAATAACAAGTACTGGTTTATGTATTGTTTACAAGCGGTCTCATTAGCTCTTAGCATGAAGCTCCGTACTGCTGTCGTGCTAGCCGGGCCCCATGTGCAGCTAAACCTCATGCGCGAACACATGCAACCTTGCCACATCTATGAGCACTCTAAGAGGAAGCCATAGCCGCAATCCGGGCTCAAAACAGCAAAGGGATGGAGCAGATATGGGCATCCACGTCACAAACCGCCCTCCACCAACCACCAAGCGTACGGCACCGCGTACGGCATAGCGTTTCACCCACGTTGAAGTTCGCGACCGCACTGGCACCAGTGGATAGCATATGTGAAGGGCTATCCAGGGATAGCTTGGCCGCAACAGGCGACAACGTCTTGGGTAAACGGCGGCCGTTTCCCGCATTCACCCCCATGAGGCCTTACCACCACCGTCCCCTACCGGTTACACACATTTCGCCCCAAACGCACAGCTAAACCTCATGCGCGAACACATGCAACCTTGCCACATCTATGAGCACTCTAAGAGGAAGCCATAGCCGCAATCCGGGCTCAAAACAGCAAAGGGATGGAGCAGATATGGGCATCCACGTCACAAACCGCCCTCCACCAACCACCAAGCGTACGGCACCGCGTACGGCATAGCGTTTCACCCACGTTGAAGTTCGCGACCGCACTGGCACCAGTGGATAGCATATGTGAAGGGCTATCCAGGGATAGCTTGGCCGCAACATGCAACAACGTCTTGGGTAAACGGCGGCCGTTTCCCGCATTCACCCCCATGAGGCCTTACCACCACCGTCCCCTACCGGTTACACACATTTCGCCCCAAACGCACAGCTAAACCTCATGCGCGAACACATGCAACCTTGCCACATCTATGAGCACTCTAAGAGGAAGCCATAGCCGCAATCCGGGCTCAAAACAGCAAAGGGATGGAGCAGATATGGGCATCCACGTCACAAACCGCCCTCCACCAACCACCAAGCGTACGGCACCGCGTACGGCATAGCGTTTCACCCACGTTGAAGTTCGCGACCGCACTGGCACCAGTGGATAGCATATGTGAAGGGCTATCCAGGGATAGCTTGGCCGCAACATGCAACAACGTCTTGGGTAAACGGCGGCCGTTTCCCGCATTCACCCCCATGAGGCCTTACCACCACCGTCCCCTACCGGTTACACACATTTCGCCCCAAACGCACAGCTAAACCTCATGCGCGAACACATGCAACCTTGCCACATCTATGAGCACTCTAAGAGGAAGCCATAGCCGCAATCCGGGCTCAAAACAGCAAAGGGATGGAGCAGATATGGGCATCCACGTCACAAACCGCCCTCCACCAACCACCAAGCGTACGGCACCGCGTACGGCATAGCGTTTCACCCACGTTGAAGTTCGCGACCGCACTGGCACCAGTGGATAGCATATGTGAAGGGCTATCCAGGGATAGCTTGGCCGCAACATGCAACAACGTCTTGGGTAAACGGCGGCCGTTTCCCGCATTCACCCCCATGAGGCCTTACCACCACCGTCCCCTACCGGTTACACACATTTCGCCCCAAACGCACAGCTAAACCTCATGCGCGAACACATGCAACCTTGCCACATCTATGAGCACTCTAAGAGGAAGCCATAGCCGCAATCCGGGCTCAAAACAGCAAAGGGATGGAGCAGATATGGGCATCCACGTCACAAACCGCCCTCCACCAACCACCAAGCGTACGGCACCGCGTACGGCATAGCGTTTCACCCACGTTGAAGTTCGCGACCGCACTGGCACCAGTGGATAGCATATGTGAAGGGCTATCCAGGGATAGCTTGGCCGCAACAGGCGACAACGTCTTGGGTAAACGGCGGCCGTTTCCCGCATTCACCCCCATGAGGCCTTACCACCACCGTCCCCTACCGGTTACACACATTTCGCCCCAAACGCACAGCTAAACCTCATGCGCGAACACATGCAACCTTGCCACATCTATGAGCACTCTAAGAGGAAGCCATAGCCGCAATCCGGGCTCAAAACAGCAAAGGGATGGAGCAGATATGGGCATCCACGTCACAAACCGCCCTCCACCAACCACCAAGCGTACGGCACCGCGTACGGCATAGCGTTTCACCCACGTTGAAGTTCGCGACCGCACTGGCACCAGTGGATAGCATATGTGAAGGGCTATCCAGGGATAGCTTGGCCGCAACAGGCGACAACGTCTTGGGTAAACGGCGGCCGTTTCCCGCATTCACCCCCATGAGGCCTTACCACCACCGTCCCCTACCGGTTACACACATTTCGCCCCAAACGCACAGCTAAACCTCATGCGCGAACACATGCAACCTTGCCACATCTATGAGCACTCTAAGAGGAAGCCATAGCCGCAATCCGGGCTCAAAACAGCAAAGGGATGGAGCAGATATGGGCATCCACGTCACAAACCGCCCTCCACCAACCACCAAGCGTACGGCACCGCGTACGGCATAGCGTTTCACCCACGTTGAAGTTCGCGACCGCACTGGCACCAGTGGATAGCATATGTGAAGGGCTATCCAGGGATAGCTTGGCCGCAACAGGCGACAACGTCTTGGGTAAACGGCGGCCGTTTCCCGCATTCACCCCCATGAGGCCTTACCACCACCGTCCCCTACCGGTTACACACATTTCGCCCCAAACGCACAGCTAAACCTCATGCGCGAACACATGCAACCTTGCCACATCTATGAGCACTCTAAGAGGAAGCCATAGCCGCAATCCGGGCTCAAAACAGCAAAGGGATGGAGCAGATATGGGCATCCACGTCACAAACCGCCCTCCACCAACCACCAAGCGTACGGCACCGCGTACGGCATAGCGTTTCACCCACGTTGAAGTTCGCGACCGCACTGGCACCAGTGGATAGCATATGTGAAGGGCTATCCAGGGCTAGCTTGGCCGCAACAGGCGACAACGTCTTGGGTAAACGGCGGCCGTTTCCCGCATTCACCCCCATGAGGCCTTACCACCACCGTCCCCTACCGGTTACACACATTTCGCCCCAAACGCACAGCTAAACCTCATGCGCGAACACATGCAACCTTGCCACATCTATGAGCACTCTAAGAGGAAGCCATAGCCGCAATCCGGGCTCAAAACAGCAAAGGGATGGAGCAGATATGGGCATCCACGTCACAAACCGCCCTCCACCAACCACCAAGCGTACGGCACCGCGTACGGCATAGCGTTTCACCCACGTTGAAGTTCGCGACCGCACTGGCACCAGTGGATAGCATATGTGAAGGGCTATCCAGGGATAGCTTGGCCGCAACAGGCGACAACGTCTTGGCCAATCCGCGGCGGATTCCGTCCGGCGCCCCCCTTAGGCCTTACCACCACCGTCCCCTACCGCTGTCACAGAAATGTCCCCAAACGCACAGCTAAACCTCATGCGCGAACACATGCAACCTTGCTGCATTACATGGTACTTCATAAGGAAGCCGTGGCCGTGACCTAGGCAAGGAACAGCAAAGGGATGGGCCCGAAATGGGCTTTCCGACTTCACACACCTACTTAACCACCCTGCATCCCTCCAGCGGTTCTGGAGCTGATCTCCTTACGAATGCTGCATTTCTAGTCTCACGGAGCACACTTCCTGATAGAATACAACCAAGGGACCTTCAGGATACCCATGATTCGCAAGTACGACGTCCATAGACAGGAGTGCAGTTGCAGACCTGCAAGTGACCGAAGTACTTCCACTTGCATGGCTCAGCATCAGTCTTGGCACAAGAGGGGACGGCGGTGTGCTGAGAGGGCCTGGCGGTGGCGACTGACGTAGAAGCATTAATTTGTGAGGTTGTGGTTTGAACGAGGAAGAGGGGGAGGCGAAGGAGGAAGGGAGGCGTTGGAGAGGAGAGAGAAGTGGCGGCGGGGAGGGGGTGGTTGGAGGAGGAGCGGTTGCAGGAGGTGAGGCTGTGAGGGCCTGGTGGGCTGCATTCATGAGGCGCGAACCTCTAGTAGAAGCGGCATGCATAGGGGAGCGATGGAGCAGGTGGAGACGTCGATGATCTAAGAGAAGGGAGTGTTTGGGGTCTGGGTGACCCATGGGCCACTTACTGGTGTTTGGGACGCTGTGCGGCTCCGTCCTGAGCAGCTTTACGCCAAATTATAAGTGCGTTGAGGACAGGGGTTACGGTGTCAGCGCTGGACCAGCCTGCAGCAGTGCAGTGGGACACACCGTGGCATGGGAGTGGGGGAGGCACAGGGATGAGCACAAGGGGGGTTGGCAGGGTTGGCAGTCACAGCAGGTCCCCATGTTGCAATCAGCAGCAGCACAGGAGCGCGCGCGGCCACACACAAGACATAAGCGTGTCCCTTACATCGCAAAGTGCGCGACCTATGAGCCAGGCAGCTGTAGAATCTGTGCTTCCCTGCTTCCTGTCCCCAGCAACACAACCATGTTCCCCTTGGTGCCTTTCGTCCATTTCCCCTTCACCCCAGCTCAGCGCCGTGCCTGCCAATGCCCCCTACGCCCCGTGAACCGTTTGCTTACGTGTTAGCACCAGTTGCTGCCACTGGGAAGGGCGCGGCAACATAGTTCCGAGCCCATGTACGTGGTACACGGAGCAGAGCCCGGTTCTGCGTCGCGCCATCGAAAGAGCGGAGAAGGTTAGGGATATCAAGTCGAATTGACAAGAAGAACTTATATAACGCGTCGATTGGCAAGCAGGTGAACGTATCGCTTGCTGTAAGGGCGGATGCGGATGCCGACGTCTGGATATGAGCCCATTAGACCCGCTAGATGCAAAACTTACTTGAGAGTATAAACGTAAGCTCGTATGTCTTTGTTTTCTCCTCAGTGCTTGTTGTCGCTGACTGGTCGACTGCGATTCTGTTTGAATAAGAAACGCACAGTCGCCAGCTGGGCCTAAGCTGACAAGGCCCTGCCTAAGTGTTCTATGTGCACTACATAACGCTACGTAACTGGCCATTGGGCAGTTCGCCTCTTGGCTAACTTGTAATGCTGGTTCGGAGGTCGCAAGCTGGTCGTAAACAGGATGTGTTACAGGGCGGACAGGCGTATATGTCTTTGCACTTAATGTAAGCATTTGCAACACCTTGAGTCACCTGCAGTGTGCTCTACCTTCGGGCGGGTGTACTGCAAGTGGCTTGTTAGTCCGTCGCCTACCTCAATAAACACATGGACCTGCAGGAAATTCAACGCTGAACACCATGGTGTGCTTGGTTTGTTGAGATATGCGCGGAAACGAAAAATCCGTACAATCATGTACGCATCGATGGCTTTACCGGCCAAAAGTTCGAGCTCAGTCGTAAACCATGTTGCCATTGAAAAAAACAAGGTATAGTAGTATGTGGTGGCCCTTTAAAAGAAAATAAAATACACCAAGTATGTGCGCTTGCATGCGCGACCCTGCTTTTCTTATCATATCCCAATACGAAAACATGCAATGAAAGGTGGTTTTGCTGTTGTTCATTATGCTTTAGTGAATGCTGCTATGTGCGCGCGCGCGTGACTCGTCGACGAATGGATGGCATGGCATTGCATGCTGAGAATGTGGTGCTGCAGGTGGCGGTGGAGCATATTGGGCTGCTGCTCTTCATGCGGCAGAGCAGCAGCAGCAGCGGCACTATGACAACTTGGTCTTGATTGGGGTCTTGATCGCTTGGTGGTGTTGCCTGTTTCGTACAATTGCCTGTCAGTTGGGAAGGAATGGATGGCTCATGGTTCATGGTGACGCCGCGGTGGTGCTGCCCCTCCCACCGGAGTTCACCATGCGCCTGCTGAGCGCCTGCTAGACAAGGGGTTTGGGGCAGGGAGAGAAGGCTCAGCAGGTGTAAAATGCAGATGCACATGATGGATAGGAGGAGGATGACCCAAAGGTAGGGTGCATGCTTGGGGTGAAAGCCATTAGTATATGCCTGTTGCTATTGGCGGGTTGCCTCTGCCCACTAGCTAGCCCACTACATGCTAGGTCTTCCCTGCCCCTTGCCGTACCCCAAACCAGCCCCAGCCGTTGGCGGCCCCTCTCCGTATTGTCTGGGAGGTGGTGGGGATTGAAGCGCCCGTGCATCTTGGCAGGAGGGACGAGGTAGGGGCAGTGACGACGGCGGCAGCGGCGGTGGCAGGGGTGTATGGGTGGAGAAGGGGATGACGCAGACCATTGCTTGGAAAGGGAGGAGCTGCGCCATCTCTCTGTTTGGTGGGGATGAGGGGAAGAGGGCAAGAAGGGTGTCAGTATGTAGTGAGAGCACGGTAAGTTGAGAGTGAGGAGAGGGACATAACGACAGGATGCATGGGGCTGCAAAGCAGGGCAGCGTACGCAGCTCTTTTCCCCCCACATGTAAAAGAGACACATCCCTCGTTCTCCCGCCCCCTCCGCCCAACCCAATACAACCCCCAGCTCACCCGTGCCCCACCCACAGACTCTACTGCGTGCTTGATACCCACAGCGTTGTGTGCTGTGCCTGTGGGGGTGGGGGGTAAACATGCACATGAAGTTAAGCAGGATGCCAGCAGGGAGGGCGGATGCGCGTTACAGGGCGAAAAGGCAGCGTGTATGCTCTTTGGCAGCGCTTATCTGTCGAAATCATGCCTGATCATGCCTGAGCACTTCTGTGCACGTCTGCTGCTCTCAACAGCGCTGCCCTCTCGTCCATTTGCGCTTGTGGGGCACTCACGTGGGGCGGGCTACCTATACATACTTAAGAGGCAGTGCTACGAACCCCCAACGCCGCCAGAGTACACGCCAGAGTACGACACAACCCGAAACCTGCGCCTCCTCCCGCCCCACACCGGCGTCGAACAACCAGTGTCTTGGCCACACCGCGCCCCGCTTACCCTGGGCTACGTACGTGGCTGGCGGATTCGTCTTGCTAGTGCTCGCCTTTGCCCTGCAACAAGAGCACATGAGGGGTGCAGCAGGTCAGGTCAGACCGCAGTGCAACAACCAAGGTGCAAGGAAGAAGACCTTTGGATACGCAGTTGAGCGTGTGGTGAGGGAATACGTTGCACAGACGGACTGTGGTTAGGTGCTCGCAACTCTACACGCAGAGCCAAGAGACTCCTGCATCACGCGGGATTGCTTCACACAAGCACAGGGCGTGGGTGGGTTGCATCGCAGCGTTACCGGCAAGGCATAATAGGCAACATAACAGGCCGGGGATGGAGGCGTTATGGGGCAAGTTGTTGATATATTTCCCCACACCGCGCCCTACTTAACCGTACGAGCTTGGAGGTGTTGGTGGGAGTAGTGACAGCAGGGCGGTGTAGGTGATGGTGACGGGCTGGGTGCTGCTGGGGAGGGCGGTGTTGAACTTGGCAACGGCGGCGGCCACAGCAGCAGCAGCAGCAGCAGCGGTCAGGTAGAGAGGTGTAGTCAGCAACTTCACCCGGCCCCCAACCAACCACCAATCGTACGGCAGGCGGGAGCGGTGCAGGAGATGGCGGTGCTGGGCGGGGCGGTGAGGTCGAGGGAGGCGGCGCGCCAGGCGGGAGGGGTGCAGGAGATGGAGGTGCGGGGCGGGGCGGTGTTTAACTGGGCGACGGCGGCGGCCACAGCAGCAGCAGCAGAAGCTGAGGGGATGGTTGGGCAACCGGGGCGTCACTGGGAGCTGGAGACTGTGGGGCGTTTTCGGGATGAAGGTGATTTCGATGGCCGCCAGGCACTGTTGGGCAGGAAAGGAAGGGAGGGAGGGGAACCGGTTTGAGTCTGAGCGTCGTATGGGTGTGTGTTTCATAGAAGAAAAGGAGGAGACAAGAGGGAGACCACCCATAACACCGTGCATTAACGGCGCCCTAACCCTTTGCCCTGAGCGTGCTGATGACCCGTGGGTCACTCACCTGTTTTGTAGGCGACGGGCCGCACGTGGAACATCACAACAGGTGATGCACGATGCAGACCAGTCAGGGGCTCCGGCCTGCAGGTGAGCTACGGCGGATGCAGACTGGGGGCTGGAGATATGGTGGTGACGTGCTGGTGAAGGCGGCTGCAAGCTGAGCAGCCGATGAAGGCAAAGTTGGGCTGGGCTGAACAGGCGAGGGAGGAAGCTGGCTGTGCGGCGGGAAGGCCGGCCGTGAGGGCTGGGCAGTGCGGGTGAGGGCGGAAGCGAGCTGGGCAGAGCGGGCCCAGAGGGGCGGAGGTGCCAGGGCTTGGGGGCGGTGAGGGCGGCAGCAGCCTGGCTGACGCTGGTTAGGGGGGAGGCAGGCTGGGCGGCGCCGGTGGGGGCTGCGCGGTTGCAACAGCGGACCAGCAGAGGCTCAGCACTGTCCTGTGTAGAGACGACTGTGGGGCGGTTTCAGGATGAAGGTGATTTCGGTGGCCGCCAGGCACTGTTGGGCAGGAAAGGAAGGGAGGGAGGGGAACCGGTTTGAGTCTGAGCGTTGTATGGGTGTGTGTTTCATAGAAGAAAAGGAGGAGACAAGAGGGAGACCACCCATAACACCGTGCATTAACGGCGCCCTAACCCCTTGCCCTGAGCGTGCTGATGACCCATGGGTCACTCACCTGTTTTGTAGGCGACGGGCCACACGTGGAACTCCTCAAAAGGTGATGGACGATGCAGACCAGTCAGGGGCTCCGGCCTGCAGGTGAGCTACGGCGGATGCTGACTGGGGGCTGGGGATATGGCGGTGACGTGCTGGTAAAGGCGGCAACAAGCTGAACAGCGGCGAAGGCAAAGTGGGGCTGGGCTGAACAGGCGAGGGAGGAAGCTGGCTGTGTGGCGGGAAGGCCGGCCGTGAGGGCTGGGCAGTGCGGGTGAGGGCGGCAGCGAGCTGGGCAGAGCGGGCCCAGAGGGTGCCCAGAGGGTGCCCAGAGGGGCGGAGGTGCCAGGGCTTGGGGGCGGTGAGGGTGGCAGCAGCCTGGCTGATGCTGGTTAGGGGGGAGGCGGGCTGGGCAGCGCCGGTGGGGGCTGGGCGGTTGCAGCAGCGGAACAGCAAAGGCTCAGCACTGTCCTGTGTAGAGACGACTGTGGGGCGGAGGGGAGGGGCGGGAGGGAGGCGGGAGGGGGAGAGGAGGCGGATAAGAAGGCATGCAAAGGAGTACGACGACAGGCAAGGGGCAGGCGTTGCTGTACAGCCCAGGCCATCCAACAGCCGCTGTGCCCTGTGTTGCAGGTGTTAGCAGGACCGCCCGGTGCCCCCCAAGTTCCCTCCTCTACACGACCCCCTTCCCTGGACCTCTGCCCGTCATACTTTGACCCAACTCACATCTGCTGCTATATAAGCTACGGCGGATGAGCGGCTGGGCGGCTCCAGCGAAGGTGGCAGCACGCCATGCAGGAAGCGGCGCAGGAGGTGGTGGTGGTGCAAGGCTGGGCGGCTCCAGCGAAGGTGGCAGCACGCCATGCAGGAAGCGGCGCAGGAGGTGGTGGTGGTGCAAGGCTGGGAAGAGAAGGTGAGGGATGGAGGCGGAACGCCAGGCGGTTGAAGTGCAGGAGATGGCGGTGTAGGCGAGGGCTGGGCGGTGAGGGCGAGGGAGGGAGAGGGCTGGGCGCTGCAGGCGAGGTCGATGTCAGGCTGGGCGGTGCTGGCGACGGCGGGCAAGTTGGTGAAGGTAACGGCACGCCAGGCGGGAGGGAGGGGGAGGAGGGACCCCCTTCCCTGCACCCGCTAAGGTCATTCATGGGGTTCTGCTGCTCCTGCCACTGCTGCTGCTGGGGCTCCGTGAGTCCACAGTGAGAGAGGGCTGCATGAAGGGGGGGCGGGAGGGAGACAGGAGCGGGAGGGAATGAGTAAGGGAACACGCACGACCGAGTATGACAGGCGGTCGGAGGAGGTACACATGGATACTGCCCAACACCATGGCGACCCACGGGTCTCAACTGTGTTGCAGGTGTTGCAGGCGCCCCCAAGTTTCCCCCGTCTTGCCATGCACCAATCCACTACACAACCCCCTTCCCTGCACAAATCCGCCCGCCCTACAATGACCCAACTCACATGTCCTGCTATAGGAGCTTAACCAATGGCGCGCGGCGGGGTGAACGCTGGCCAGTGACGTGCAGGCCAGGGAGTAGCAGTGAAGGGCTGATTGGGGCGAGGTAACAGAGACAGGGACCGAGAGGGAGGAGGAGCCAGTCCCATGAAAGAACGCATGGCTGGGCGGTGCGTTGCAGAGCTGTTCAGCGGCGGGGAGGGCTCTGAAAAGGACGGAGCAGCAGGAGAAAGAGGAGCATGCGAGAGGAAGGAGAACATGTTAGCAAGCGGGGGGGGAGAGAAGTAGTCGGGGCAGCAGCAGGGCGCAGGGTAAGCAGGGCGGCGAGAGGAGAAGAGCGCGCAAGAGGGTGAGGACGCAGGGGTGCTAACGTGGTGCTAACAGCAGTGTAGAGCAACAGAAAGGGGTTTGGAAATAGAGAGTCCCAGACAGCATCAGCCCCCGTATGCAAAAGCTGGGCTGCTGGCAACCGCCTTTCTCACCTCCATCCAACCAACCGCGCCGCTCCACTGGCACGCCCTTCCTTCACCAGCAGCCTGCCAAGCGCTTGTAACCTAAACAGAGAGGAACAGCAGACGCTGGTGTAAGTTATGGTTGCTACGCGGACACTGGAAAATGCGATGCGAGGCTCAGATGAAAGAAGCTAGCTGCACCGCAAATCACACACTCATATCAAGGAACACGATGTTGTATGTGCCAAGCCCGCGTGCACCTCATTACGGCCTCTAACGAGAGCTCGGCCCAGACACGAGCAGCAGGAGATCGCACTCATAGCAAGCGCTCCGGCCCTCCCAACGCACCTGATTTGCTAGGTGCTCCTAAACGGATGAGAAAAGCCGACGCTGCTCCAAGACGACGGCCAAAAAGTCCGAGTGCTTTCTCCGGCCCAGCACCGCCTCCAGATCGTTTGCGTCGAACTCTGTCCATAAAAACAGGACGTGAAGTATTTTACCTATTTATACATCAGTGTGTTGTAACAGTAGTGAAGTAAGCGTGCGCAGGCACAATGCGAGCCTCTGCTATGCCGCTGCTGATGTACGGCAACGGGGCATGAGGCAGCTTATTCTGCCCGCTTCCTCCAAAACCCGTAAGGAACCTGTTACTGGTATGCTTGTTTGAGCGAGTATGTGTGCGCTTTAGTGCAATTTCAGGGCTAAGCGCGGCTGGTCATGAGCTCGTCACCCTGCTCAAGGGTGACCACTCCCAACAAATCACACCTCCCACGCGGCCAATCCGGGATTCAGCGCCTTGCCTGACGTGGGCTGTGCATATTAGGCATGGGTCATAGGATAATATCAATCACAGTCGTCGCATGGTGCTCCTGGGAGTGGATGTGTGGGGGGAGTGAGCATGGGGCCTCTCCAACGAACATCCTCATCAAACAATGTGTACTTCACCCAAAGACAGTTGTGAGGCCTGTCGCCAGCTGCATGTGCACCATAAGGGAATGGAACACAGCAATTACGGGCACAGTAGGCTAAAAGACACAGCAAACACCCACATGTGATGTTGCCCTAGCTGGGAAGGGGAAAAAGCAGGCATAGTCCATCAACTGCACGTGCAACACACAGGCTGTCCAACTAGAACACAAATGTACGACAGGAGGCATATTGCCCGGGCCCTCTTGGGTCAAATAGGGCGTCAGGCGAAAAGATCCCAAGGGTAATCCGCCGACCCTTGGGCCGGAACCGCACCGAACCCTGTCAAAACCGTGGCGAACCTCAGCAACCCCACCGCACCCAGCCTGACCAAAGCACACTAAACCGTATGGAACCCCCATGCAACCGCACCCAGCTCAACCGTACTTTACCCCATGTAACCACAGTGAACCGTGCAGAACCGTGCAGAACCACACCCAACCGTAGGCAAGCAAAGCAAACCGCAACCTTTACCAGCCCACCAAACCCAACCAAATCCAATATAACCAAAACGTCAACCACCCAGCACCAAAACTAACTCTAATGTACTTCAGCCGTTGCAACCGTACCAAACCCAATCCAACCCCACAGAACCACGCCGACACGTACCCAAGCAAACCCAATCCGAACCCTCCCTCTATGAGAGCCCACCCCAGTGATACCGTTGTGAACCAAGAAACCAAACGTCAACCACAGGCCACTCCGCCAAAGTCGAACAAACCCCATGCTTGCAGACCGAACCACAGGATACCACACGCAGAAATGCACGTTTGCGATGGCTGCAGTATGCATGTTCGTCAGCATAAGTGCTGGGCGGCATGTGTCTAGGTTTGGTATGCATCTAACAGGTGCTTTGCAACCGTGTACTGCATACCGGTTCCGGACGGTAACCTGCCCTTGGCTCGACGGTAGCAGGCGCTTTATTATTTGCCAAGACACACAACACACGTCAACATATAATATGCGAGGGATGATAAAAAACATAAGACGCGTTGCCTGATGTGCCGACATTTCCAACAGAAACACTTACATCTCAAATATGGCTTAGGATAGCATGATCAGATATGCGTTAGTTGCATTGGGTAAGATGCTTTCATAGAAGCGTCTTGTGGGGAGAATATGTATTTTGTGGTGGCCAAAGCTTCAAGGGGTGTTTCGCACCAGGGACATACAATCGTAGTGACAACTAACCTAAATCATTAATGCTGTGCAGGGTCACAAGGGATCAATGAAGCGAAGGACGGAGGACGTATGGAGGCGAAAAGCCATCAGTAAAAAGGCCAAGAAGAATGGTAGGCGGCCGATTGCTATCTACGAAGACGATGAGGAGGAGGAGGAGGAGGAGCTGAGCTATCAACCAAAACGACGGACGACGGTAAGCCGAGGGCTCCCATGTGGGAGGATTGCTATCTTTCTTGCCAGGGATCCTCTGCCAGCACGCGCGCATGCTTGTAATCAGTCTTGCATTGAAAGCTTTTAAAGAAAGCTGTAGGTTATGTTAAAATATGGGCGAGGCATTGCCGCTGTCGCCTTTACCTTCGCATCCCTATCCTTGGTTGCTAACCGTGGGTGCCCTACACGCTTTGCTGTCATTCGTTATCTATGCAGGAGCGTGGTCGGATGGCTCCGGCAAATGAGGCTCGACAGCAGCGCCATGTTACAGCAGCGGAACCTCCAGGCCTCTACAGCCGCCCTGCTTTGTTTCGCACTGCTTGGGACAGCCCATCATCTCACCAGCTGTCTCTGGCTGCCATGGATGTTGACAGCGATCAGGAGGATGGGTACGGCACCCCGCCACCAGCACCACGGCAACGGTATCAACGGCAGCAATTGCCACAACCAGCGCAGCGCCAGCAGCCCCAGCGGCAGCCTCTATCCCCTCCACCTCCACCACAACGTCAGCAGCAGCAGCCCACGCCGCCGCCGCAGCTGCGACCACACCCCCAGCCGGTACAAAACCATCAGCAGCGGCAGCAGCAGGCACCTCCACCTCCCCTACCGCAGCAGCAGCGCCAGCAGCCCCAGCCGCCTCTGCAAACCCAGGAAGAACCGCTACAGGACCATTGGCAGCGGCCGCCTCGATCCCCTCCACCTCCACCACAACGTCAGCAGCAGCAGCCCACGCCGCCGCCGCAGCTGCGACCACACCCCCAGCCGGTACAAAACCAACGGCAGCCGGCACCCCCACCTCCCCCACCGCAGCGCCAGCCACCGCTCCCGCCTCAACAGCAACGGCAGCAGCAGCAACCACCACCTCCCGGGCAAATGGCTGGTCCTCGGCCACCTCCAAACGCCGTGCAACAAGCCGCCTGGGTTCGTGGTCGGCGGCAGAGACCTGCCCAGCAGCGGGGTAAGGACCCGGGCCCGCCGCCTATACCCTTCCCTTGTGATCGGGTACCGGGCGACACCAAGTGGTATCAGTTCGGCAGGGTCCGCAGTGTGGGTGAGGGCGGGGATGAGGTTGAAAGCGAGGATGAGGGCGCTGGCAGCGGTGGGCGTAAAGCCAAGCTTCCATCAAACGTGCCCCTTCTTTGCTGGCCTTCTCACGTGGTGAAGAAGAAGAAGTTTGGGCTTCTGGCTATCCTCAAGAAGATACCGGCGCAGATGCCAGTCGGCAAGGAGCTCAACCACTACGAGTGGTGGTGTACCGAGGCCTTCGACTTCACCGTCGCGGAATTCACTCAGGCCAAGAAGGAGACCTGGAATGGAATCCTGAACACGGTGTCCAAGTTCTTGGGCTTCTGCAGATTCGTGGAGTGTGTACCCCCCAAGTTCATCTCCCTGCGCTTGGCAGGCAACCCGGTAAGCCTCCTTAGTCCTATGATTGTAGTTTGGGTTTCGGTCTGCAATTCATGGGGGTGTCATGGGATGGGAGTACGTGAGGAAGAGTGAGTCGGGTCTTGCCTGTACTTGCCTGCACATGCAAGGCTGTATCTGTACGAAAGCGCCATGCCACATCCATCCTGCTCAGCATCGCTTATACCCCTTTGCGCCTGTAGACGTTGGTCATCCGCTACCTCGACTTTATGATGATGCGGTGTGCTGCTGCTCATTTGGGGACTGAGGTCTGCCGCTTGAAGCGGCTGGTCGTATACCTGGAGAGCTACGATCCTACATTGACGGACAAAGAGGTCAGTAGTATGGGAGATGCTGTGGTGCTTATTCTAGACCCATCCCCATCCATGCCTGCATGACGCAAGAACATTTGCTTTTTACATCTTCCCTACCATATATACTATTGCTTGTGTAACGCATGGTCGGTGGGGAGATATGATGCATGCAGTGTTTACCTTGTTTAATAATGTATCTTTCAATCTCCTATTAGCCTTAGCATTCTCCCCGGTATTCCCTTTCACTGCACAGAGGGAGAAGCTCATGGACATGGTGGAGTGGCTCAAGAGGATATCCGACAGCTTCCGCCGAAGCTACCCTACGCCTGCCCCGCCGCCATCTGATGTGGACTCCGACGAGGAGGACGAGGACGGACCCACGGGTCTGCCTGACAAGGTGCTGCTCCTGCGGTTCGTGATGGAGCTGCGTCAGAAGGCAGACGACGCCCTTTCCGCAGACATGGTGGCGGGTGACATCAGCTTCGAGACAGCTCTCCTTCAGAGGGACGCTCTGCTGGCTGAGTTCCTGTGCGGGCTCTATGTCCCCCCGCTGCGCCTGGCCTGCATTGCGACGCTCAAGGTGCCTGGCCGCGATGTGTGCACGCATGCGTGCTGCTCCAGGGCTAACTGCCGGGGGAATACCCTGCGTGCCTTGACAACACGCTCGGGAGAACCCACTGGCGGCATGAAGGTGGAGCTATTCCATCACAAGACGGAGCGGTTCCGCAAGAAGCCCATCACCTTCAAGCTGCCCAAGGTCCTGGCGGAACGTGCGCTGTCTTACATCAACAACATCCGGCCGATACTTGCTGGCGACGACGACACGGATGAGGAGGGGGAGGAGACCGCGCCAGTTCCCTTCCTCTTCCTTACCGGGCGAGGGAAGGCTCTTGGCATTTCGGGCGGCACCACAGTAGCAGCCTTGTGGAACCGCATCCAGCAGCAGCACAGTGCGCCATGGCAGCCATTCACAGCACGCCTTTTCCGCCACATTCACGCCAACAGCGAGTTCAATGCAGTGATTCGGGAGGTTGCTGCCGGGAGGACCCACCTGGATGGTGACGCTCAGATCATGGGCAACTCCCAAGCTGCGTGGGACTCAAACTACATCAAGGACCATGACTCCGCGATGATGCAGGCGACGGTGGATCGTCTCGAGGACTGGAGGCTGATATGTGAGCAGAAGCTTCGGCGGCAGGGCAGCGGGGGCAGCGGCGAGGAAGAGCGGCCCAGGGACGCAGCAGCAGCGGCAGGCGAGGCGCAACCGCAGGGGCATGAGGTGGCAGCGGGCAAGACTCCTCCTGAGGCAGCAGCAGGTGCACCAGAAGGCCAAGAGCAGCAGCTGCAGGGGACCGATGCACCTCAAGGCCAGGTGCCACAGCCGGGGGAGGCAGCAGCAGCGGCGGAGGGCCAGGAGCAGGAGCTGGGGGAGGCAGCAGTAGTGGCGGAGGGCCAGGAGCAGGAGCCGGGGGAGGCAGCAGCGGCGGCGGAGGGCCGGGGGCAGGAGCCGGGGGAGGCAGCAGCGGCGGTGCAAGGTGGGGAGCAGCAGCCGCAGGACGTAGCAGCGGCTATTGGCGAGAGGTTCCAGCAGCAGCTGGCAGAACCTAGGGGTCGGCCCTCGCATGCACCAGCCCCTCGCCCTCTGCTCGGCCGGCTTCGCAGGTTGTTCATGGGCAGCAGTGCTGAGGCAGATGCAGCCCAAGCCGCAAGGAGGCCACAAGGAGCGGACGGCTTTCATGGGCAGCCTAGCAGTACGGCAAGTGGGATGGGACCCAACCCCCAATCGGCAGCAGGAGGCAGCAGCTTGGAAGGAGGCTTTGGTGATCTGGCGGGAGGCGATGGTGGCTTGGACGCTGGTGCTAGGAGGCAGCAAGAGCTTGGAGCAGCAAGCGGCCAGGGTGATGCAAACATGGATGGTAGCATGCACGGGGGGTACGGCGCATACAATGCATATCATGAGGGTGGTGACGGCGAGTTTGCGGATGCAGAGGATGGCCAGGGCCCGTTGAGGGGCATGGGCGACGATGAGGGGGGTGAGGAGGACGAGGAGGGTCGAGGGGGTGGCTACGGTACGAGGGGCGGCCGCCGGAGCTATGCCAGGAGGCAGAGAGCGGTAGAAGGTGAATGGGAGGACTTGGGGCAGGAAACACCAGAGGAGGGCGGGTGGGAGGAGGAGGATGAATCCGAAGAGTCCGATCCCGAGGAGGAGGGGGAGGAGGAGTGGGACGAGGAGGCAGACCGACGGCCGAAGCGGCAGGGAAGGCAAGGCGGCCACTGAAGGGAATCGTTTGGGGTATGGGGTAGGCGACTAGCAGGAGTAGGTACATTTAAGCATTTAGCACCTGGTTATGAGGTTTCCTAAGATGCGGGTTCGTGTTACTTTAGATCATTATGTTAATGTGTGGGCATAGAAGACCATGTCTCAGCAAGGGGGTTCTGTTTTGTGTGATGTCTGACTCAAGTCGTACTAAGGGTATTGTACGTTGTACTATGAACGCTTAGAAGGACGAGTGCAAGTGCACGTCCTGTGGGGCTCAGACCTGGCCTTCCCTACCCAGGGTATCTGTTTGTGGCTAAAGACAAGGCCTTTGTAACAGTAATCCGTGCATACGTGACGTTCATCCACGGCTCTCCCATGCACAAATACAAGCTGAAACCTGTACCAGGCAGTGACGTCGTATTCAGACATAAAGCAGTTACCTTTGCACATCTAACTTAAGGCAAGACACCAGACCTCTCCAGCCAGCAAGCAATGCAGTGCCTGTGCAGAGATTGCATGCAAGGAAAAGTACGTAGGGCTACCTAAGAAGTTCTTCTCGTACCCTTGTGTCAGGTGCATGCACGTAGTGCAGGCAGTTTCATCTCCAGTAGTAGTCAACAGCTCTAGCTGCACGCCACATGAGGGCTACCCATGGCCCAATAAGGTAATATCCACCTTTCAATAGCCATAGCTTCTTCATCTTATCATGTGTCCATGGGTTTCAGTGGTGGCATCGTACTGTTCGTTAGCTAGCCAGGCGGTGGACGGTGTACAGGCCCTGAAACATATCGTTTTGGTGAATCCAGCACAAAGGAAAAGCCATACATGCAACAGGGAGGTAACAAAAGGCCAACAGAGACCCACGGACCCTGCCTATTCTGTAGCTGAGTTACAACGACACTAGTTGCTTGGGTACACGGGGTCAGCAACACAATATCCCTGACATAATCCCTTTGGCTGTTGCCATGTTTCAGCACTTGACTCGTGCGTTGGGCTGTCCAGCGAGCTCCATGTCATTTTACCGGTTTGACGGAAAACACGAGACAGCCTTATATACCGCCGTTTTCCCGCAAGAGCCAATCTAATTGTAACATGCAGCATGCGCGCTTTAATGCTTTAGGCTCCCACAGCAGCAAGGAGAGTCGGGCTACTCATGGCAATCGGCGGAATGCCCCGACTCGCGCGCAAGACGTAAGCACTACTATGGGCTTCGCTAAACTAGAGTCTTCCCTGTGACTATGTTTTAGCGCGGTTTACGTGTTCGTTGGGCTGTCCAGCCAGCTCCATGTCAAGTTACCGGCTCGACAGAAGACATCTTAATTTACGCCGTCTCCCCACGAGAGTCGATTCAACAGTAACCAGTTGCATACAGGCTTTTACGCTTTGGATATAGGCAGCAAGAAGAGGCGAGCTTCTCATCATAACCGGTAGAATGCTCCGACCCAAAGACTTGCGCACAACTAGGGGCTCCTTTAACGTATACGGGTTCATAAGATGTACACGTTTTTGCTTCGTGCGTTTCCGCTTTTGCATAATATCGAGCTTCCTGCTTAGGAAGACCAAACGTTTCATACGCTAACTAGAGCTTTGCAACCATATCAAATCAAAGATTTCATGTCTTTACGTCCCAGCGCTGGGCGCAGTTCCAACTGTTTGGCAATGGTTGTCAGACCTATCCGTCGCGATTTCTGAAAAGCCCACAATTATAGCCGAAGAATGTTTGGTTTAGTATATGTTATGTGTTACAAACACTGTATGCGCACAGGGCTGCAATTGCTGCCATAGGTGCAATGGCGCCAACTAGCTGGTACGACGAGCGGGCTCACGATCCTAGTAGGAGGTCTCCTACAACTTGCATTCTCAACATATTAATACATTAAATGATATATACATAAAGGGCTTATGTTCAAGCTGTGGGCTTGCAGTTTTAAGTGCCTTGCAGGTCTCAACTAGGGAAGCTCGCGCCAAGGGTACACATCCAAGCCTGAAAGGTAAGCGGATGTGTCTTTGCTTTAACACTTCTGCATAGCATTATTCTTAGCTTCGAACAGTGAACGATTTGCGCAAGGGGAGGTATCCATTGACAAATGGATGGAGACATTCTGGTCACCACTCGCACCCTTACACGCAAACAAAGCTATCTGTGTCCTTTAATGCCACAGCATTGTTGCTTTTGGGATATTTCTTGTGAAACAACGCAGCAGAATGTAAGAAACCGAAGTGCGCGCGCTGCCATGTTCGCTTAAATTTGAACCACCCGCCAGATCGTTTTGCCCCGTAGATTAAGTCGAGTCCGTTCCCCATCCCTTGTATCCTCTTTATGCGCAGAACCTTGAAGGACTCGATTGGCTCTGAGAGCCATAAACAGCCTCAGCAAGACATGTACCCAACCAGCCCGTGAGCTGCAACGCATCATACGTATCCAGGTGAGCCGTTTGAGCACGCTCGTGTATTCCATATGCTTGCTCTCAACATTCCTCCGGAAGACCCTGGCCGTAGCTTCTTGACCTAGAAGTGCGCGGCTTGAGTCGGCCACATGGAATGAAGAGACCGAGCGCTGATCTTTTCTTGTTTGTCTTGCTTACACAACCAGCTCAAAGACATTGCTAACCTCGTCGTATTCCCTTCCTATGCTCTGCATGTGCGCTTCTGACAATGGACTACGTGCCAAGCAGCCAAGGTTGTCACAAGGCACCGTCAATTCCAGGTGTGTCCTTAGTTTAAGCGCGCCATTTCTACGCCTTTTATACTTGCTCTCGACATTCCTACGGAAGACCATGCCCAACTGCTGCTAGCAGAAGTGAGCGGGTGGTGTCTGCCACACTGAATGAAGAGACCGAGTGATGCCGCATGTAGGCAATTTACAGCTAAGACGGATAGCCGTTTGACAGCTTCTAACTCTGCCTTACTGCCTTTCATTGCCTGCATGTGCGCTTCGGACTATGGGCTACAAAATCAAGCAGTCAAGGCCGCCGTGACAAGCCCGCCCACCGTAATCCATCAGGTGGGTCATTTGCATGCGCGGATTCTGGACTCCCCAACCTTGCTCTTGACATTCCCTCGGAGGACCGTGCCCAAGGGCTTTTACAAGATGCCAGCGGGTAGTGTCCGCCACACGGAATGAAAAGACCAAGTGCTGCTCAATTTTTGCGATTTAATTTCAATACAGGCCCCTAAAACGATATCTAACCTCGCCCTACTTTTTCAATGCTATGCATGCTCGCTACTTTGTCCACCATGGACTTTTGGCTACACCGCCGCCCCCTCAAGACGATACCACGGCAGCAGGAACTCTAGCAGGTAAAATACGGTAATTTAATCGCCAGAATGCTATGCCACCCCGTTAAATTGCCTGCCTTCCCATGCCATGTAGGCTGCGCCATTTATGGCCCCTAAACGCAAGTCGCCCGAGAATTTAACGCTACTTGGGCGCCTGACCTTTTTCCTCCAGAAAAGACTCGAGGTTATTGAGGTAAGGCGGTGTTAAATTTCCAGCCTTGCAGTTGTAAATGGTTCACGCATAATTATCTTTCTTTCCATGCAGCGCCAAATCTGCGGTGGGGAAGGAGTGGAAGGCGTGTACGGGTCACTGACAATTGCAACATTAACTATAGTCCTACTGGTTCTTGTCAGAGCTGGCCTCCTACGCACGAACAGCGTCTTCGGGGACATCGGGGCTGGTGTTGGCAGGTGGGAAATGTGCACTGAAGTACGACGCTCACACATGTACTACAACTGTCGTACCTCGCTTTAACTTTGTTTACCTTCTTTCAGGACCCTGGTAATAGTCGCGTTCTTGTTCGGAATCAAAAGCATTGGCTGGGAATTGGATAAAGTAAAACGAGGAAAGGCCGAGAATTTTATTGAGAGGTTCCAGCCGCATGTTGACAAATACAAGGTGAAAGATCCTTGGAACCATTTAGAAGCCGACGTTAATTCTCTTCTGACAGCGTACAAAACACCAGAGTGTTTTTCCTGCAAACCAGACAACAGCGACGTGAGTGTACATGGTTGGGGCACGCTAGACAGGGCTTGAACCCGGCCCTAAAAGTGCCCTGATTGTTTAAAGCCGCCGTTTTCCTTGGTATTTGGCAGGTCAATTATGAAGATGTAACAGTCCTGTTCTCTTTTTGGGAGGGATTTGGTGACAAGGAAAAGGTCACTAAACACATGAAGACCGCTACTCAGCTCGAGGTGATTTGAACAGCTTGCTATTACCCTTTGTTGCATTGGTTCATGCTGATTTAACATGTTTCCTTGCCTCGCAGGCTCTTATTATCGTACAAAAGCATGAAGCTAAACCTGTCGAATTCATGGCAGGCTTAGGATTCCCCGGACTCACCCTCCTTACAAGATTGCCAATAAGAACCTCAGGTCTGATAGTATGCACGCTTAGTTGCTGGTTGGTTTCCCGTTAGCAATAATTATCTTACCAGACCTCGTCTTCTTGCAGGTGCCAACCAGACGTTTCAAGCATATATCTTCCTTACAAGTCTTGGCAAGTCCAACATGCTACCAGAAGTTAAAATACAGGAACAGGCAGGTTCAATATCACTAACGTACCCGTGTATTCTGTATGCTGCCATATATGTCATGCTCTGGTTAGGGTACGTGTTTTCGACTCACTGTTGCCCTGGCCTCCCCCTCCTGTTTAGGAATTCCTACCTCCTGCAGTGTACGACCTGCCCGTGAATGACCATACTCCGTTGTTAATTAAAATGATGCAAGAAGACGAACAGGCCAAAAAGGTAAGGCCATGATAACAGTTAGATATGAGTTACAGTATCTTGTTAGCTTCAGCGCAACCTCAAAACCACGGCATGTCGCATGGCTGCAGGCTCGGACCCTGATTCCTCCCAAAGAAGCCATTATTGCGCCAAGCCCCAATGCACAACAAGGGCAAGAGGTACGTTCCTGCTAACGAACCCTGACCTTTCATAAGCCACAAACATCAAGCCTAACTGGTCCCCTAGATAATAACTGTGCATCTGGCAAAAGGCAGCTAGTTACCATCAGCCAGAGCAAGTGGAATGCCGGTAATAGGTGTATTGCATGGCAAAAACCTCTCATCTACCCTTTCTCTATTTAGCATGACAACCACCCGACTGTACTCCTCCGCATTCTGTTTTTTGTTAGCACGGCAATCCCCCCAGTAGATGTGGCTTGCGGTTAGGCATGTTCCACAGTCACATATGTGCATCGCCGGAACACCCCGTTCACCTTCTACCATGTCTAGCTGTGCCGCATCCATCTCCTCCACGGGACACCAACTGTTATCCCATTTCCGGACCTTCTTACGATGGTTGCGTATGACAGTCTCGGACGGAGGGCCATGCACCATCCATAAGATTAACCGGTGTACATACTCCGTCTTGCTCCTTGGTTGCAGCTTCAAGGTGATGTATCGTAGCTTGTTTTTGTCATGGTGTTGGCGTTGTACAATACACTTGGCAACTGCTTCCGTGTTTGCAGCACAGTTTAGCCCGTCAACCAGTACACAAAGGCTGCGCCAGCGTGTTAGCACCTCGTCGTCCTCTTGCGGTCTTAGGTGCAAAGGATATAGGAGCAGGCAAGCCCAATGAACGTCCAAAAGACTCAGGTTAGGGCAGTTAATTTTATTGTGTAGCTTGCTCACGGCATGACACCAGTAACCGAGCTGCCAAGGTGGTACGTACTGATCGGGAAACTGCTTCTGCAAGCACGCATGAGCAACATAACCCAATGCTTTGAAGGCTCGAGCACATAGATTGCTGATGCTTCCATCCCATAGAGCTGTGGTGCCCTTGGCAGGATCAAGACGCCGAAGGACACGCAGCAAACTGTATGGGCGAATGTTGCCAGGCTGCAGTTCCAGTAGCTTTTCGATTGCTAACTCTGATGGTCCTGCTCGCATGAAGCTTTCTCCCAACGAGTTAGGAGGTGGGCACTTATGTTCCTTGTTGCCAGTCTTGACAGGCTTGACTCCGAACGGCAGTTTAGCCACTGCGGCCATGTCGTACTCCTCCCTCCGACCAATAGCGTTGATGTCACATTCTGCCTGGTCCTGAATGGATACGAGTTGCTAATTTAATAAACCACCTGTTGATGCAGTTGACGACAAGTTCTTACACGCACCTGGCCGGCGGCATCGGCCGCATCCCTAGCATCCATACTTCAGTGAATAGCTCGTGTTTGCCTTATTGTTATAATGGAAATCCTAATACCTAAATGGTCAAAGAAAGCGTCCTTATTAAGAATCGATGTTCTAGTCGCAAGTGCCTTGGTAGTACACCTTAGTACTATGGTTCATGTTATTAAGCTGCGCTAATGAGACATTGTATTTGATAAAGTTGTTGTGTTGCCACCAACTTAGAAGCGCCTCCTAAGAATCTGTGTCGTACCACTACCATTCTTGAAGGAATACGAGTCTTTGCACTTTTCTGAGAGAGGGATTTCATTGCCACCTACGTTCACCCTTTCAATTTAGGATGATGCCTTTGAGCAGCTCGCCGAAGAGCCCCAGCAAGATTGCGCTGCTCTTGGGACGGCCACTCTTCAACCCGCTAGTGCGGACTTTTCAGATGTGCTGCCCACCACCGAGCACAACAAAGCACCACAGCTGGACCCGGTACAGCAGGTACGCAGCAAAGGCTGTTTTAGGTTAAACCAAGGATGTAAGATACCTACCGCCGTACATGAGGCCTTACATAACCAAACGCATTTCTTTAATCCAGGACGGCACTCAACCAGCTCAAGACACCCAGGTCGACGGCGCTGTTGAGACCCAAGCCGCCACCTCCATCAATGGCACTGGCTCTGGCGGCGGCCTTACAGCGCTACCACCCGGGCCCTCCTCTGTGCTGATGCATGGTTACACTGGCTACGGCCTTACAGGTTACGGGGACCAGGTAAGCTTGTCCAATGATATTAAACTGTACCTATATGCAGCTCGTTCTCCTCCAAAACGTAGTTCTGGGTGTTAGACGGTTTCGGTTTCAGGATTTGAGGACTACTTGCATTACCCCTGTCAGAGCAGAACGATATAGATTGCAGTCCTCCTCCTGGCATAATGATTTACACCGGCCCAATACGTGCAGGCTTTCTTCTCCAATTCGAATCCTCTGAGCACCTTCCTCTCTACGCCGGCTGGTAACCCATTCCTGGTACGTATTGCAGGATTCTTTTGGAGGGATGAACTAGGCAGGCTAGATTGTATTTTCCTTTCCCATTTTGGCATAACTATTACATGCTTATTCAACCACAGGCGGCACGGGCACTGAGGTTGTACGGCAAGCAGACAGCCAATGTAGTCATGGAGACCGAGCCCCAAGCTGCGGCAGACATGCTTGCCCTTCTTGCGTGTACGGACCCCAAGTCTTGCCTAGTGGAGTTGGTCAGGCTCAAGGACTTTCTGTCCAAGCCCAGTGCGCCCGGCCAAGGCAAGGTTGCTGCAGAGCTGGTGATGCATGCCCCTATCCTGCTCACCACGCTACTGGGCCAGGAAGCCTATGAGAACTTGTCCAAGACTAAGGGCCAGGCACGTGTCAATCTCCTTCAAGCCATGCTCCACCATCAGCTTGCTGGATACAACGGCAAATGCAATGAGAAGGTGAGTTCTGCTGCGGTTAGTGGAATGCTCTAGCCTGCATGGAGGGACGTTTTTGAGTGCTGTGCTCGAAGGGCTTTGTCAAATGTAAGCAATTACGTACCGCTGTTCATAGCTTACACATACGTCTTTGCTGTGATTTGTGCTTTTTCCTGATATGTATGAAACGGACCTGATGGCATGCCAAATAATCACTGGTCCGCAGGTGGGCTGCACGCCCTCAGTGGAGCCCCTGCCTCAAGATCGACGGCTTTCATTTGGTGTGGCTGCCTCTTCAATGGCTCCAACTATGATGCGGCCTAGGCCTTTCAGTCCCTCAGCGGCCGCCAGGACAGCTGCCCCGCCCTCAGGCCGTCCATCGTTGCCTGCCAGCTTCAAGGTATGAAAAGGGGAACAGAACGACAAGGAATGTGCTCTTTTGCTTGTTAGGATCTGCTATATAACTAGCCAAGTAGGCTGCCTGCTGCGTACAGCCCGCATAAAGTTAATTACAACCAGTTTTGATGGCTTACTGTCTTCATTTTCCCCCTTAATGTATACAGAACGAGGGTGTGACGTACAAGCAGAACAAGCTCGTGCCCTTCATCTTTGTCAGCACGTGTGGCAGTGTCTCCCGGACAACATCAGAGGGCATCAAGGTGCTAGAGGCCAAAATCCAGGTCGGCACCGGGCACCTTGTTATCAAGACAAGGCTAGCTGCTGGCAAGAACCCGAAGGAGGTCCAGGTGCGGAGGCTTGTAGCCTCGACCTTCATGTCCTCAGAGGATCTGGGGCTGCTGGGCCTGACGTCTGCCTCTGACCTCAAGGGGCACTCGTCTGGCAGTCATCAACTTGGCACCAAGGATGGTGACAAAACCAATGTTGCCCTTGACAACTTAGTCATTAAGAAGCGCGGCTGATTATTGCGCCTTATGCCAGAAAGCATGAGATGATCTAAGCTAATTTCATGTCGTACGAAATGCATGGTCTTTGCAGGATTAGAGAGACAACAACTAATGCAGGGGTGAAATTGCTGAGAAATGCAATTATTGAAGTCCGTTATGTCGTAGAATATGACACGTAATATTCGATGTTTGGCTGCAGGTGTTTATCGTGCATAGGTTGGTAAATATGGTTTCTTTTTTTGGAAACGTGCCTACGGACTTGCTTGGGATTACAGGATTGGATTCTTAATTAAATTCCACTCTTCGAGAGAGAGAGAGAGAGAGAGAGCATGAGATCGCTAAGCTGCGTGCAGGGCAGCCATTGTAAACCCTTATCCATGCATAGCTGAGTAATGAACCCAACTGAATTCGGGCACACGTAAGCAGCGTGGCAGCATGATACTGGCAGCATGAACAAAACTCTTCAGTTCACAAATTTATATCTTTGCCAATACTTAACCGTTTGACACACGAACATAAGCAGCGGCCTCAGCTAGACACATAGATTACGGGGGCACACTCCTTGCAGTTGCCCCATTGATGGCGAGCACAGGAAAAATGGGCAAAAACCGTTGTTCGTTATCACTAAAGGGGCCTTGCTACGCCCCGCCATGCACCCTAGCTACTGGCGCAGGTTCCAGTGTTGCAGGAACCGCCGCATGTACGAAAAGCGCAGCTTGGGAACCTCCTCCGGTGTCAGCTCCGGGATGGGGAGCCCCAAAGACAGGTGCTCCGCAAAGAAGATAGTGTAAACACCGCAGTCGTCCGTGTTCCCCTGCTGCGGAACCTCCACCAGCTTTACGTCCCACGTCCGCATGTCCAGGCGCACACGGTGGCGTACAGCTGCCTCACGCTTAACCCAGTGCTTCAAGTTGTTGACGAGCTCCATGTAGTCGTGCAGCTCCCTCTTCATCTGTGGCATGCATGGATATATCAAGGAAACTGCTTTACTGATGTTTTATTCTCGGTAATTATTTGGAAATTGTCAGAATTATGGCAACCGATTATATTTATACGGGCCCAAGTAGAGGGAAGGAATCAGTGTTTTGCGCTGTCGAGGATCCAAAACGATTATCCTAACGGAAAGCCCTAAAACTTACCGAGTCATAGACGCGCACTGCCTGCTTCGACATGTTGATCTCCACCAGGAACCAGTGGTTTTGGCTGAAGTGGATTGGCACCAGGACGAATTCCATCTCGTGCACCGGCGGCAAAGCCAAACCCACCTGCATAAAGAACGGACAAGGAAAATGTTTGCGAATTATAATTGATTTTAAATTTAATTAAGGCGTCCTATACAGCGCTGTTTAACCCAGTAGTAAGATTCCCACGTATCTACCTGCATCTTTTGCAGGCGCTCAGGTTTGGTCCAGCGCTGGACACGATGCCACTTGGCCCTAGGCCCCTCCTTGGTCAGCTTCCCATAGAAGAAAGACGACAGGAAGAGGCTGATGCCCGGGCCCCTATACAGCCGGCCCCTCCGTACCGTGAAGTTCCTCACCTGAAAAGGAAATCAAGGATAGGTGTAGCAGGTACAGAAGATCAAATTGGGAAGAGAATACCTTGGGGCTGTTCATTGGGGCCGGAAAATGAATAGGTTAAAAACGAACGTAAAATAAATAAAATACGAGCAATACTATGGACGACTCCTTACATTCCAACCGCACCTGCATGAAGGTAACGGCCGCGTTGATCAGTTCGTCGTTTAGCCAGGACCCGTTGCCAGGAAGACCAGGGGCAAGGCGCCGAAGGTCCTGCCGCCTAAGCTTGAGGTTTATGCCAAACCTCGCCAGGACGTCCGTGGGGCTGCCTTGACCATCGAAAATGGCAAGGGCAGCGTCCTGCTCCTTTTTGCTGGCAGATTTGAAGTATGCGAGCGCCCCTCGTGGAATGTCATCAAGCTTACCATGGCGAGTAACCACCTCCTCCTCATTGTCAGAGTCGCTGCTCACGTATTCACCATCCCCCTTGCTTCCCCCTCCCTCGCTGTTGCTGCTTGCATCGCTGTCAATCCCCTCAGCCCCCTCAGCCCCCTCAGCCCCCTCAGCCCTCTCAGCCCCCTCAGCCCCCTCAGCCCCCTCAGCCCCCTCAGCCCCCTCAGCCCCCGTAACATGACTGGTGACAGTGGGACGTGACCTCTTCATGGGTGGCAACCCAACACCATCTTCGATCTGATGAAGGCCAGCCGCGACGTCACCAGCAGCTGCCACCATGCTGTCACCAGCAGTGGCCACAATCGGAACAAGGTCACCACTTGACCCCACGAGCTCGCAGCCGGTTGCAGCTGCTGCAGGCTCTGTAGCAGCGGCGGAACCACTTGACCCCGCAAGTCCGCAGCCGGGTGCAGCTGCTGCAGGCTCTGCAGCAGCAGCGGAACCACTTGACCCCGTGAGCTTGCAGCCAGTTGCAGCTGCTGCCGTGGCCTCGACATGGGTGGTGGCAGGAGGAGCCACATAGCCACCTGCCAGTTGCTGAGGCACCGATGACGCCATGACCTCCAGTGCAGAAATCAACTCCACCAAGGGCTTCATGGCCTCCTCGTTAGGCCATGCCTGCTTGTTTCCCCTCCCAGCATCATTCTCGCTCCTGGGTTGGGTTTTATGCAACGGGGTTTAATGGAGGTTAATGATGTGGTAAAGTTTTAGGCTTGGGCTTTAATCAATAATTGTCCCTGTCTCTTGCCCTTCAACAACGGTCTCTGCCTCTTGCCCCAAACAATGATCCCTGCATCTTGGCCCCCAAAATTACGTACTTGAGCTTCTTGAGGCAGGCAACAATGGCTGGCATGTCGAATCCCGCTTGCACGCGGTCAAATGCAGACTTGATGAACCAGGCCACATGCATGGCTGCCAGGTTCTTGGGCTGCAACGGCGGCAAGCAAATAAGGTTGGGGAGGCTATGGTACTTTATACGACTGCCACTAAACCGCCACAATCCCCGTGTTTGAACACATTACTGTATGGCAAAAAGAGCACCCTGCTTACCATTGAGGCTGTCGGTGCCCACTCAATTGCTTGCAGCCACCATGTGGGAATCTCCACGAAGTTTAGCCCCTTTGCAAGCTGCCGCATGGGAGTAATTATGTTGCGGAGCTGGATGGTCTTTAGGTTGAAGGGATACAACCAGTCCATCCATTTGTTGAGCTCTGTGGGTCACAGCCAAGATATGGAAGCAATGTTAAGGGAAAGGCTCGTCAATAGCTGTCCAAACAAAGGTAGCTTAGAAGGAATGCATGGTGTCCCCTGCAAACCATAACGTCAACACAGAGTTAAGTTGTGTAGGTCATGTGGCTGATATACAGGATACCTACCGGGGTACATCGTGCGTGCATCATGCGCCCCCTCCGGTGCGATCCCACTGCCATTGCCACCCAACTGGGCATGGGGAGGAGCAGCATGATACTGGATTCCCAGTGATAGGAACAGAACGGATTTGAGAAACTCCAAGACCGGCAGAAGGCGACCAGACCATTCCACGGAGACCTCTGAGAGATGCTGATCGATTATATTGTTTGTCGCTGAACACTGAAAGTTCGTGGCACCCGTCGCAAAGACATCTACCGACATGGTGAGCGTCGCAGTCCTAGTGCCGGCAAGCAAGCACTCGTTTTGCGGGATGGCATCTCCTGGCGAGTCAGGAGAGCCTGCTAATTCTCTTGAATTAAATCCTTCCATCAGGGCCGACGTTTTATGTGTCGCCGTCGGCAGAATCTTAAGGTTCCGGGTCCTTTGTCAATGCGAACAGCTTAACCCAAATTGACAAAAGTATAATAGGATGCCAAATTCGGCTGCTAATAATTGAAGTTTGCTGTAAAGGTGAAGACGGGGACGCTACGCTTGCATCACTCGTCGGTACCAGGTAACTAGTTAACCCGGTAGATTATAGCCCACTTCAATCTTTTGTAAATAACAAGTACTGGTTTATGTATTGTTTACAAGCGGTCTCATTAGCTCTTAGCATGAAGCTCCGTACTGCTGTCGTGCTAGCCGGGCCCCATGTGCAGCTAAACCTCATGCGCGAACACATGCAACCTTGCCACATCTATGAGCACTCTAAGAGGAAGCCATAGCCGCAATCCGGGCTCAAAACAGCAAAGGGATGGAGCAGATATGGGCATCCACGTCACAAACCGCCCTCCACCAACCACCAAGCGTACGGCACCGCGTACGGCATAGCGTTTCACCCACGTTGAAGTTCGCGACCGCACTGGCACCAGTGGATAGCATATGTGAAGGGCTATCCAGGGATAGCTTGGCCGCAACAGGCGACAACGTCTTGGGTAAACGGCGGCCGTTTCCCGCATTCACCCCCATGAGGCCTTACCACCACCGTCCCCTACCGGTTACACACATTTCGCCCCAAACGCACAGCTAAACCTCATGCGCGAACACATGCAACCTTGCCACATCTATGAGCACTCTAAGAGGAAGCCATAGCCGCAATCCGGGCTCAAAACAGCAAAGGGATGGAGCAGATATGGGCATCCACGTCACAAACCGCCCTCCACCAACCACCAAGCGTACGGCACCGCGTACGGCATAGCGTTTCACCCACGTTGAAGTTCGCGACCGCACTGGCACCAGTGGATAGCATATGTGAAGGGCTATCCAGGGATAGCTTGGCCGCAACAGGCGACAACGTCTTGGGTAAACGGCGGCCGTTTCCCGCATTCACCCCCATGAGGCCTTACCACCACCGTCCCCTACCGGTTACACACATTTCGCCCCAAACGCACAGCTAAACCTCATGCGCGAACACATGCAACCTTGCCACATCTATGAGCACTCTAAGAGGAAGCCATAGCCGCAATCCGGGCTCAAAACAGCAAAGGGATGGAGCAGATATGGGCATCCACGTCACAAACCGCCCTCCACCAACCACCAAGCGTACGGCACCGCGTACGGCATAGCGTTTCACCCACGTTGAAGTTCGCGACCGCACTGGCACCAGTGGATAGCATATGTGAAGGGCTATCCAGGGATAGCTTGGCCGCAACAGGCGACAACGTCTTGGGTAAACGGCGGCCGTTTCCCGCATTCACCCCCATGAGGCCTTACCACCACCGTCCCCTACCGGTTACACACATTTCGCCCCAAACGCACAGCTAAACCTCATGCGCGAACACATGCAACCTTGCCACATCTATGAGCACTCTAAGAGGAAGCCATAGCCGCAATCCGGGCTCAAAACAGCAAAGGGATGGAGCAGATATGGGCATCCACGTCACAAACCGCCCTCCACCAACCACCAAGCGTACGGCACCGCGTACGGCATAGCGTTTCACCCACGTTGAAGTTCGCGACCGCACTGGCACCAGTGGATAGCATATGTGAAGGGCTATCCAGGGCTAGCTTGGCCGCAACAGGCGACAACGTCTTGGGTAAACGGCGGCCGTTTCCCGCATTCACCCCCATGAGGCCTTACCACCACCGTCCCCTACCGGTTACACACATTTCGCCCCAAACGCACAGCTAAACCTCATGCGCGAACACATGCAACCTTGCCACATCTATGAGCACTCTAAGAGGAAGCCATAGCCGCAATCCGGGCTCAAAACAGCAAAGGGATGGAGCAGATATGGGCATCCACGTCACAAACCGCCCTCCACCAACCACCAAGCGTACGGCACCGCGTACGGCATAGCGTTTCACCCACGTTGAAGTTCGCGACCGCACTGGCACCAGTGGATAGCATATGTGAAGGGCTATCCAGGGATAGCTTGGCCGCAACAGGCGACAACGTCTTGGCCAATCCGCGGCGGATTCCGTCCGGCGCCCCCCTTAGGCCTTACCACCACCGTCCCCTACCGCTGTCACAGAAATGTCCCCAAACGCACAGCTAAACCTCATGCGCGAACACATGCAACCTTGCTGCATTACATGGTACTTCATAAGGAAGCCGTGGCCGTGACCTAGGCAAGGAACAGCAAAGGGATGGGCCCGAAATGGGCTTTCCGACTTCACACACCTACTTAACCACCCTGCATCCCTCCAGCGGTTCTGGAGCTGATCTCCTTACGAATGCTGCATTTCTAGTCTCACGGAGCACACTTCCTGATAGAATACAACCAAGGGACCTTCAGGATACCCATGATTCGCAAGTACGACGTCCATAGACAGGAGTGCAGTTGCAGACCTGCAAGTGACCGAAGTACTTCCACTTGCATGGCTCAGCATCAGTCTTGGCACAAGAGGGGACGGCGGTGTGCTGAGAGGGCCTGGCGGTGGCGACTGACGTAGAAGCATTAATTTGTGAGGTTGTGGTTTGAACGAGGAAGAGGGGGAGGCGAAGGAGGAAGGGAGGCGTTGGAGAGGAGAGAGAAGTGGCGGCGGGGAGGGGGTGGTTGGAGGAGGAGCGGTTGCAGGAGGTGAGGCTGTGAGGGCCTGGTGGGCTGCATTCATGAGGCGCGAACCTCTAGTAGAAGCGGCATGCATAGGGGAGCGATGGAGCAGGTGGAGACGTCGATGATCTAAGAGAAGGGAGTGTTTGGGGTCTGGGTGACCCATGGGCCACTTACTGGTGTTTGGGACGCTGTGCGGCTCCGTCCTGAGCAGCTTTACGCCAAATTATAAGTGCGTTGAGGACAGGGGTTACGGTGTCAGCGCTGGACCAGCCTGCAGCAGTGCAGTGGGACACACCGTGGCATGGGAGTGGGGGAGGCACAGGGATGAGCACAAGGGGGGTTGGCAGGGTTGGCAGTCACAGCAGGTCCCCATGTTGCAATCAGCAGCAGCACAGGAGCGCGCGCGGCCACACACAAGACATAAGCGTGTCCCTTACATCGCAAAGTGCGCGACCTATGAGCCAGGCAGCTGTAGAATCTGTGCTTCCCTGCTTCCTGTCCCCAGCAACACAACCATGTTCCCCTTGGTGCCTTTCGTCCATTTCCCCTTCACCCCAGCTCAGCGCCGTGCCTGCCAATGCCCCCTACGCCCCGTGAACCGTTTGCTTACGTGTTAGCACCAGTTGCTGCCACTGGGAAGGGCGCGGCAACATAGTTCCGAGCCCATGTACGTGGTACACGGAGCAGAGCCCGGTTCTGCGTCGCGCCATCGAAAGAGCGGAGAAGGTTAGGGATATCAAGTCGAATTGACAAGAAGAACTTATATAACGCGTCGATTGGCAAGCAGGTGAACGTATCGCTTGCTGTAAGGGCGGATGCGGATGCCGACGTCTGGATATGAGCCCATTAGACCCGCTAGATGCAAAACTTACTTGAGAGTATAAACGTAAGCTCGTATGTCTTTGTTTTCTCCTCAGTGCTTGTTGTCGCTGACTGGTCGACTGCGATTCTGTTTGAATAAGAAACGCACAGTCGCCAGCTGGGCCTAAGCTGACAAGGCCCTGCCTAAGTGTTCTATGTGCACTACATAACGCTACGTAACTGGCCATTGGGCAGTTCGCCTCTTGGCTAACTTGTAATGCTGGTTCGGAGGTCGCAAGCTGGTCGTAAACAGGATGTGTTACAGGGCGGACAGGCGTATATGTCTTTGCACTTAATGTAAGCATTTGCAACACCTTGAGTCACCTGCAGTGTGCTCTACCTTCGGGCGGGTGTACTGCAAGTGGCTTGTTAGTCCGTCGCCTACCTCAATAAACACATGGACCTGCAGGAAATTCAACGCTGAACACCATGGTGTGCTTGGTTTGTTGAGATATGCGCGGAAACGAAAAATCCGTACAATCATGTACGCATCGATGGCTTTACCGGCCAAAAGTTCGAGCTCAGTCGTAAACCATGTTGCCATTGAAAAAAACAAGGTATAGTAGTATGTGGTGGCCCTTTAAAAGAAAATAAAATACACCAAGTATGTGCGCTTGCATGCGCGACCCTGCTTTTCTTATCATATCCCAATACGAAAACATGCAATGAAAGGTGGTTTTGCTGTTGTTCATTATGCTTTAGTGAATGCTGCTATGTGCGCGCGCGCGTGACTCGTCGACGAATGGATGGCATGGCATTGCATGCTGAGAATGTGGTGCTGCAGGTGGCGGTGGAGCATATTGGGCTGCTGCTCTTCATGCGGCAGAGCAGCAGCAGCAGCGGCACTATGACAACTTGGTCTTGATTGGGGTCTTGATCGCTTGGTGGTGTTGCCTGTTTCGTACAATTGCCTGTCAGTTGGGAAGGAATGGATGGCTCATGGTTCATGGTGACGCCGCGGTGGTGCTGCCCCTCCCACCGGAGTTCACCATGCGCCTGCTGAGCGCCTGCTAGACAAGGGGTTTGGGGCAGGGAGAGAAGGCTCAGCAGGTGTAAAATGCAGATGCACATGATGGATAGGAGGAGGATGACCCAAAGGTAGGGTGCATGCTTGGGGTGAAAGCCATTAGTATATGCCTGTTGCTATTGGCGGGTTGCCTCTGCCCACTAGCTAGCCCACTACATGCTAGGTCTTCCCTGCCCCTTGCCGTACCCCAAACCAGCCCCAGCCGTTGGCGGCCCCTCTCCGTATTGTCTGGGAGGTGGTGGGGATTGAAGCGCCCGTGCATCTTGGCAGGAGGGACGAGGTAGGGGCAGTGACGACGGCGGCAGCGGCGGTGGCAGGGGTGTATGGGTGGAGAAGGGGATGACGCAGACCATTGCTTGGAAAGGGAGGAGCTGCGCCATCTCTCTGTTTGGTGGGGATGAGGGGAAGAGGGCAAGAAGGGTGTCAGTATGTAGTGAGAGCACGGTAAGTTGAGAGTGAGGAGAGGGACATAACGACAGGATGCATGGGGCTGCAAAGCAGGGCAGCGTACGCAGCTCTTTTCCCCCCACATGTAAAAGAGACACATCCCTCGTTCTCCCGCCCCCTCCGCCCAACCCAATACAACCCCCAGCTCACCCGTGCCCCACCCACAGACTCTACTGCGTGCTTGATACCCACAGCGTTGTGTGCTGTGCCTGTGGGGGTGGGGGGTAAACATGCACATGAAGTTAAGCAGGATGCCAGCAGGGAGGGCGGATGCGCGTTACAGGGCGAAAAGGCAGCGTGTATGCTCTTTGGCAGCGCTTATCTGTCGAAATCATGCCTGATCATGCCTGAGCACTTCTGTGCACGTCTGCTGCTCTCAACAGCGCTGCCCTCTCGTCCATTTGCGCTTGTGGGGCACTCACGTGGGGCGGGCTACCTATACATACTTAAGAGGCAGTGCTACGAACCCCCAACGCCGCCAGAGTACACGCCAGAGTACGACACAACCCGAAACCTGCGCCTCCTCCCGCCCCACACCGGCGTCGAACAACCAGTGTCTTGGCCACACCGCGCCCCGCTTACCCTGGGCTACGTACGTGGCTGGCGGATTCGTCTTGCTAGTGCTCGCCTTTGCCCTGCAACAAGAGCACATGAGGGGTGCAGCAGGTCAGGTCAGACCGCAGTGCAACAACCAAGGTGCAAGGAAGAAGACCTTTGGATACGCAGTTGAGCGTGTGGTGAGGGAATACGTTGCACAGACGGACTGTGGTTAGGTGCTCGCAACTCTACACGCAGAGCCAAGAGACTCCTGCATCACGCGGGATTGCTTCACACAAGCACAGGGCGTGGGTGGGTTGCATCGCAGCGTTACCGGCAAGGCATAATAGGCAACATAACAGGCCGGGGATGGAGGCGTTATGGGGCAAGTTGTTGATATATTTCCCCACACCGCGCCCTACTTAACCGTACGAGCTTGGAGGTGTTGGTGGGAGTAGTGACAGCAGGGCGGTGTAGGTGATGGTGACGGGCTGGGTGCTGCTGGGGAGGGCGGTGTTGAACTTGGCAACGGCGGCGGCCACAGCAGCAGCAGCAGCAGCAGCGGTCAGGTAGAGAGGTGTAGTCAGCAACTTCACCCGGCCCCCAACCAACCACCAATCGTACGGCAGGCGGGAGCGGTGCAGGAGATGGCGGTGCTGGGCGGGGCGGTGAGGTCGAGGGAGGCGGCGCGCCAGGCGGGAGGGGTGCAGGAGATGGAGGTGCGGGGCGGGGCGGTGTTTAACTGGGCGACGGCGGCGGCCACAGCAGCAGCAGCAGAAGCTGAGGGGATGGTTGGGCAACCGGGGCGTCACTGGGAGCTGGAGACTGTGGGGCGTTTTCGGGATGAAGGTGATTTCGATGGCCGCCAGGCACTGTTGGGCAGGAAAGGAAGGGAGGGAGGGGAACCGGTTTGAGTCTGAGCGTCGTATGGGTGTGTGTTTCATAGAAGAAAAGGAGGAGACAAGAGGGAGACCACCCATAACACCGTGCATTAACGGCGCCCTAACCCTTTGCCCTGAGCGTGCTGATGACCCGTGGGTCACTCACCTGTTTTGTAGGCGACGGGCCGCACGTGGAACATCACAACAGGTGATGCACGATGCAGACCAGTCAGGGGCTCCGGCCTGCAGGTGAGCTACGGCGGATGCAGACTGGGGGCTGGAGATATGGTGGTGACGTGCTGGTGAAGGCGGCTGCAAGCTGAGCAGCCGATGAAGGCAAAGTTGGGCTGGGCTGAACAGGCGAGGGAGGAAGCTGGCTGTGCGGCGGGAAGGCCGGCCGTGAGGGCTGGGCAGTGCGGGTGAGGGCGGAAGCGAGCTGGGCAGAGCGGGCCCAGAGGGGCGGAGGTGCCAGGGCTTGGGGGCGGTGAGGGCGGCAGCAGCCTGGCTGACGCTGGTTAGGGGGGAGGCAGGCTGGGCGGCGCCGGTGGGGGCTGCGCGGTTGCAACAGCGGACCAGCAGAGGCTCAGCACTGTCCTGTGTAGAGACGACTGTGGGGCGGTTTCAGGATGAAGGTGATTTCGGTGGCCGCCAGGCACTGTTGGGCAGGAAAGGAAGGGAGGGAGGGGAACCGGTTTGAGTCTGAGCGTTGTATGGGTGTGTGTTTCATAGAAGAAAAGGAGGAGACAAGAGGGAGACCACCCATAACACCGTGCATTAACGGCGCCCTAACCCCTTGCCCTGAGCGTGCTGATGACCCATGGGTCACTCACCTGTTTTGTAGGCGACGGGCCACACGTGGAACTCCTCAAAAGGTGATGGACGATGCAGACCAGTCAGGGGCTCCGGCCTGCAGGTGAGCTACGGCGGATGCTGACTGGGGGCTGGGGATATGGCGGTGACGTGCTGGTAAAGGCGGCAACAAGCTGAACAGCGGCGAAGGCAAAGTGGGGCTGGGCTGAACAGGCGAGGGAGGAAGCTGGCTGTGTGGCGGGAAGGCCGGCCGTGAGGGCTGGGCAGTGCGGGTGAGGGCGGCAGCGAGCTGGGCAGAGCGGGCCCAGAGGGTGCCCAGAGGGTGCCCAGAGGGGCGGAGGTGCCAGGGCTTGGGGGCGGTGAGGGTGGCAGCAGCCTGGCTGATGCTGGTTAGGGGGGAGGCGGGCTGGGCAGCGCCGGTGGGGGCTGGGCGGTTGCAGCAGCGGAACAGCAAAGGCTCAGCACTGTCCTGTGTAGAGACGACTGTGGGGCGGAGGGGAGGGGCGGGAGGGAGGCGGGAGGGGGAGAGGAGGCGGATAAGAAGGCATGCAAAGGAGTACGACGACAGGCAAGGGGCAGGCGTTGCTGTACAGCCCAGGCCATCCAACAGCCGCTGTGCCCTGTGTTGCAGGTGTTAGCAGGACCGCCCGGTGCCCCCCAAGTTCCCTCCTCTACACGACCCCCTTCCCTGGACCTCTGCCCGTCATACTTTGACCCAACTCACATCTGCTGCTATATAAGCTACGGCGGATGAGCGGCTGGGCGGCTCCAGCGAAGGTGGCAGCACGCCATGCAGGAAGCGGCGCAGGAGGTGGTGGTGGTGCAAGGCTGGGCGGCTCCAGCGAAGGTGGCAGCACGCCATGCAGGAAGCGGCGCAGGAGGTGGTGGTGGTGCAAGGCTGGGAAGAGAAGGTGAGGGATGGAGGCGGAACGCCAGGCGGTTGAAGTGCAGGAGATGGCGGTGTAGGCGAGGGCTGGGCGGTGAGGGCGAGGGAGGGAGAGGGCTGGGCGCTGCAGGCGAGGTCGATGTCAGGCTGGGCGGTGCTGGCGACGGCGGGCAAGTTGGTGAAGGTAACGGCACGCCAGGCGGGAGGGAGGGGGAGGAGGGACCCCCTTCCCTGCACCCGCTAAGGTCATTCATGGGGTTCTGCTGCTCCTGCCACTGCTGCTGCTGGGGCTCCGTGAGTCCACAGTGAGAGAGGGCTGCATGAAGGGGGGGCGGGAGGGAGACAGGAGCGGGAGGGAATGAGTAAGGGAACACGCACGACCGAGTATGACAGGCGGTCGGAGGAGGTACACATGGATACTGCCCAACACCATGGCGACCCACGGGTCTCAACTGTGTTGCAGGTGTTGCAGGCGCCCCCAAGTTTCCCCCGTCTTGCCATGCACCAATCCACTACACAACCCCCTTCCCTGCACAAATCCGCCCGCCCTACAATGACCCAACTCACATGTCCTGCTATAGGAGCTTAACCAATGGCGCGCGGCGGGGTGAACGCTGGCCAGTGACGTGCAGGCCAGGGAGTAGCAGTGAAGGGCTGATTGGGGCGAGGTAACAGAGACAGGGACCGAGAGGGAGGAGGAGCCAGTCCCATGAAAGAACGCATGGCTGGGCGGTGCGTTGCAGAGCTGTTCAGCGGCGGGGAGGGCTCTGAAAAGGACGGAGCAGCAGGAGAAAGAGGAGCATGCGAGAGGAAGGAGAACATGTTAGCAAGCGGGGGGGGAGAGAAGTAGTCGGGGCAGCAGCAGGGCGCAGGGTAAGCAGGGCGGCGAGAGGAGAAGAGCGCGCAAGAGGGTGAGGACGCAGGGGTGCTAACGTGGTGCTAACAGCAGTGTAGAGCAACAGAAAGGGGTTTGGAAATAGAGAGTCCCAGACAGCATCAGCCCCCGTATGCAAAAGCTGGGCTGCTGGCAACCGCCTTTCTCACCTCCATCCAACCAACCGCGCCGCTCCACTGGCACGCCCTTCCTTCACCAGCAGCCTGCCAAGCGCTTGTAACCTAAACAGAGAGGAACAGCAGACGCTGGTGTAAGTTATGGTTGCTACGCGGACACTGGAAAATGCGATGCGAGGCTCAGATGAAAGAAGCTAGCTGCACCGCAAATCACACACTCATATCAAGGAACACGATGTTGTATGTGCCAAGCCCGCGTGCACCTCATTACGGCCTCTAACGAGAGCTCGGCCCAGACACGAGCAGCAGGAGATCGCACTCATAGCAAGCGCTCCGGCCCTCCCAACGCACCTGATTTGCTAGGTGCTCCTAAACGGATGAGAAAAGCCGACGCTGCTCCAAGACGACGGCCAAAAAGTCCGAGTGCTTTCTCCGGCCCAGCACCGCCTCCAGATCGTTTGCGTCGAACTCTGTCCATAAAAACAGGACGTGAAGTATTTTACCTATTTATACATCAGTGTGTTGTAACAGTAGTGAAGTAAGCGTGCGCAGGCACAATGCGAGCCTCTGCTATGCCGCTGCTGATGTACGGCAACGGGGCATGAGGCAGCTTATTCTGCCCGCTTCCTCCAAAACCCGTAAGGAACCTGTTACTGGTATGCTTGTTTGAGCGAGTATGTGTGCGCTTTAGTGCAATTTCAGGGCTAAGCGCGGCTGGTCATGAGCTCGTCACCCTGCTCAAGGGTGACCACTCCCAACAAATCACACCTCCCACGCGGCCAATCCGGGATTCAGCGCCTTGCCTGACGTGGGCTGTGCATATTAGGCATGGGTCATAGGATAATATCAATCACAGTCGTCGCATGGTGCTCCTGGGAGTGGATGTGTGGGGGGAGTGAGCATGGGGCCTCTCCAACGAACATCCTCATCAAACAATGTGTACTTCACCCAAAGACAGTTGTGAGGCCTGTCGCCAGCTGCATGTGCACCATAAGGGAATGGAACACAGCAATTACGGGCACAGTAGGCTAAAAGACACAGCAAACACCCACATGTGATGTTGCCCTAGCTGGGAAGGGGAAAAAGCAGGCATAGTCCATCAACTGCACGTGCAACACACAGGCTGTCCAACTAGAACACAAATGTACGACAGGAGGCATATTGCCCGGGCCCTCTTGGGTCAAATAGGGCGTCAGGCGAAAAGATCCCAAGGGTAATCCGCCGACCCTTGGGCCGGAACCGCACCGAACCCTGTCAAAACCGTGGCGAACCTCAGCAACCCCACCGCACCCAGCCTGACCAAAGCACACTAAACCGTATGGAACCCCCATGCAACCGCACCCAGCTCAACCGTACTTTACCCCATGTAACCACAGTGAACCGTGCAGAACCGTGCAGAACCACACCCAACCGTAGGCAAGCAAAGCAAACCGCAACCTTTACCAGCCCACCAAACCCAACCAAATCCAATATAACCAAAACGTCAACCACCCAGCACCAAAACTAACTCTAATGTACTTCAGCCGTTGCAACCGTACCAAACCCAATCCAACCCCACAGAACCACGCCGACACGTACCCAAGCAAACCCAATCCGAACCCTCCCTCTATGAGAGCCCACCCCAGTGATACCGTTGTGAACCAAGAAACCAAACGTCAACCACAGGCCACTCCGCCAAAGTCGAACAAACCCCATGCTTGCAGACCGAACCACAGGATACCACACGCAGAAATGCACGTTTGCGATGGCTGCAGTATGCATGTTCGTCAGCATAAGTGCTGGGCGGCATGTGTCTAGGTTTGGTATGCATCTAACAGGTGCTTTGCAACCGTGTACTGCATACCGGTTCCGGACGGTAACCTGCCCTTGGCTCGACGGTAGCAGGCGCTTTATTATTTGCCAAGACACACAACACACGTCAACATATAATATGCGAGGGATGATAAAAAACATAAGACGCGTTGCCTGATGTGCCGACATTTCCAACAGAAACACTTACATCTCAAATATGGCTTAGGATAGCATGATCAGATATGCGTTAGTTGCATTGGGTAAGATGCTTTCATAGAAGCGTCTTGTGGGGAGAATATGTATTTTGTGGTGGCCAAAGCTTCAAGGGGTGTTTCGCACCAGGGACATACAATCGTAGTGACAACTAACCTAAATCATTAATGCTGTGCAGGGTCACAAGGGATCAATGAAGCGAAGGACGGAGGACGTATGGAGGCGAAAAGCCATCAGTAAAAAGGCCAAGAAGAATGGTAGGCGGCCGATTGCTATCTACGAAGACGATGAGGAGGAGGAGGAGGAGGAGCTGAGCTATCAACCAAAACGACGGACGACGGTAAGCCGAGGGCTCCCATGTGGGAGGATTGCTATCTTTCTTGCCAGGGATCCTCTGCCAGCACGCGCGCATGCTTGTAATCAGTCTTGCATTGAAAGCTTTTAAAGAAAGCTGTAGGTTATGTTAAAATATGGGCGAGGCATTGCCGCTGTCGCCTTTACCTTCGCATCCCTATCCTTGGTTGCTAACCGTGGGTGCCCTACACGCTTTGCTGTCATTCGTTATCTATGCAGGAGCGTGGTCGGATGGCTCCGGCAAATGAGGCTCGACAGCAGCGCCATGTTACAGCAGCGGAACCTCCAGGCCTCTACAGCCGCCCTGCTTTGTTTCGCACTGCTTGGGACAGCCCATCATCTCACCAGCTGTCTCTGGCTGCCATGGATGTTGACAGCGATCAGGAGGATGGGTACGGCACCCCGCCACCAGCACCACGGCAACGGTATCAACGGCAGCAATTGCCACAACCAGCGCAGCGCCAGCAGCCCCAGCGGCAGCCTCTATCCCCTCCACCTCCACCACAACGTCAGCAGCAGCAGCCCACGCCGCCGCCGCAGCTGCGACCACACCCCCAGCCGGTACAAAACCATCAGCAGCGGCAGCAGCAGGCACCTCCACCTCCCCTACCGCAGCAGCAGCGCCAGCAGCCCCAGCCGCCTCTGCAAACCCAGGAAGAACCGCTACAGGACCATTGGCAGCGGCCGCCTCGATCCCCTCCACCTCCACCACAACGTCAGCAGCAGCAGCCCACGCCGCCGCCGCAGCTGCGACCACACCCCCAGCCGGTACAAAACCAACGGCAGCCGGCACCCCCACCTCCCCCACCGCAGCGCCAGCCACCGCTCCCGCCTCAACAGCAACGGCAGCAGCAGCAACCACCACCTCCCGGGCAAATGGCTGGTCCTCGGCCACCTCCAAACGCCGTGCAACAAGCCGCCTGGGTTCGTGGTCGGCGGCAGAGACCTGCCCAGCAGCGGGGTAAGGACCCGGGCCCGCCGCCTATACCCTTCCCTTGTGATCGGGTACCGGGCGACACCAAGTGGTATCAGTTCGGCAGGGTCCGCAGTGTGGGTGAGGGCGGGGATGAGGTTGAAAGCGAGGATGAGGGCGCTGGCAGCGGTGGGCGTAAAGCCAAGCTTCCATCAAACGTGCCCCTTCTTTGCTGGCCTTCTCACGTGGTGAAGAAGAAGAAGTTTGGGCTTCTGGCTATCCTCAAGAAGATACCGGCGCAGATGCCAGTCGGCAAGGAGCTCAACCACTACGAGTGGTGGTGTACCGAGGCCTTCGACTTCACCGTCGCGGAATTCACTCAGGCCAAGAAGGAGACCTGGAATGGAATCCTGAACACGGTGTCCAAGTTCTTGGGCTTCTGCAGATTCGTGGAGTGTGTACCCCCCAAGTTCATCTCCCTGCGCTTGGCAGGCAACCCGGTAAGCCTCCTTAGTCCTATGATTGTAGTTTGGGTTTCGGTCTGCAATTCATGGGGGTGTCATGGGATGGGAGTACGTGAGGAAGAGTGAGTCGGGTCTTGCCTGTACTTGCCTGCACATGCAAGGCTGTATCTGTACGAAAGCGCCATGCCACATCCATCCTGCTCAGCATCGCTTATACCCCTTTGCGCCTGTAGACGTTGGTCATCCGCTACCTCGACTTTATGATGATGCGGTGTGCTGCTGCTCATTTGGGGACTGAGGTCTGCCGCTTGAAGCGGCTGGTCGTATACCTGGAGAGCTACGATCCTACATTGACGGACAAAGAGGTCAGTAGTATGGGAGATGCTGTGGTGCTTATTCTAGACCCATCCCCATCCATGCCTGCATGACGCAAGAACATTTGCTTTTTACATCTTCCCTACCATATATACTATTGCTTGTGTAACGCATGGTCGGTGGGGAGATATGATGCATGCAGTGTTTACCTTGTTTAATAATGTATCTTTCAATCTCCTATTAGCCTTAGCATTCTCCCCGGTATTCCCTTTCACTGCACAGAGGGAGAAGCTCATGGACATGGTGGAGTGGCTCAAGAGGATATCCGACAGCTTCCGCCGAAGCTACCCTACGCCTGCCCCGCCGCCATCTGATGTGGACTCCGACGAGGAGGACGAGGACGGACCCACGGGTCTGCCTGACAAGGTGCTGCTCCTGCGGTTCGTGATGGAGCTGCGTCAGAAGGCAGACGACGCCCTTTCCGCAGACATGGTGGCGGGTGACATCAGCTTCGAGACAGCTCTCCTTCAGAGGGACGCTCTGCTGGCTGAGTTCCTGTGCGGGCTCTATGTCCCCCCGCTGCGCCTGGCCTGCATTGCGACGCTCAAGGTGCCTGGCCGCGATGTGTGCACGCATGCGTGCTGCTCCAGGGCTAACTGCCGGGGGAATACCCTGCGTGCCTTGACAACACGCTCGGGAGAACCCACTGGCGGCATGAAGGTGGAGCTATTCCATCACAAGACGGAGCGGTTCCGCAAGAAGCCCATCACCTTCAAGCTGCCCAAGGTCCTGGCGGAACGTGCGCTGTCTTACATCAACAACATCCGGCCGATACTTGCTGGCGACGACGACACGGATGAGGAGGGGGAGGAGACCGCGCCAGTTCCCTTCCTCTTCCTTACCGGGCGAGGGAAGGCTCTTGGCATTTCGGGCGGCACCACAGTAGCAGCCTTGTGGAACCGCATCCAGCAGCAGCACAGTGCGCCATGGCAGCCATTCACAGCACGCCTTTTCCGCCACATTCACGCCAACAGCGAGTTCAATGCAGTGATTCGGGAGGTTGCTGCCGGGAGGACCCACCTGGATGGTGACGCTCAGATCATGGGCAACTCCCAAGCTGCGTGGGACTCAAACTACATCAAGGACCATGACTCCGCGATGATGCAGGCGACGGTGGATCGTCTCGAGGACTGGAGGCTGATATGTGAGCAGAAGCTTCGGCGGCAGGGCAGCGGGGGCAGCGGCGAGGAAGAGCGGCCCAGGGACGCAGCAGCAGCGGCAGGCGAGGCGCAACCGCAGGGGCATGAGGTGGCAGCGGGCAAGACTCCTCCTGAGGCAGCAGCAGGTGCACCAGAAGGCCAAGAGCAGCAGCTGCAGGGGACCGATGCACCTCAAGGCCAGGTGCCACAGCCGGGGGAGGCAGCAGCAGCGGCGGAGGGCCAGGAGCAGGAGCTGGGGGAGGCAGCAGTAGTGGCGGAGGGCCAGGAGCAGGAGCCGGGGGAGGCAGCAGCGGCGGCGGAGGGCCGGGGGCAGGAGCCGGGGGAGGCAGCAGCGGCGGTGCAAGGTGGGGAGCAGCAGCCGCAGGACGTAGCAGCGGCTATTGGCGAGAGGTTCCAGCAGCAGCTGGCAGAACCTAGGGGTCGGCCCTCGCATGCACCAGCCCCTCGCCCTCTGCTCGGCCGGCTTCGCAGGTTGTTCATGGGCAGCAGTGCTGAGGCAGATGCAGCCCAAGCCGCAAGGAGGCCACAAGGAGCGGACGGCTTTCATGGGCAGCCTAGCAGTACGGCAAGTGGGATGGGACCCAACCCCCAATCGGCAGCAGGAGGCAGCAGCTTGGAAGGAGGCTTTGGTGATCTGGCGGGAGGCGATGGTGGCTTGGACGCTGGTGCTAGGAGGCAGCAAGAGCTTGGAGCAGCAAGCGGCCAGGGTGATGCAAACATGGATGGTAGCATGCACGGGGGGTACGGCGCATACAATGCATATCATGAGGGTGGTGACGGCGAGTTTGCGGATGCAGAGGATGGCCAGGGCCCGTTGAGGGGCATGGGCGACGATGAGGGGGGTGAGGAGGACGAGGAGGGTCGAGGGGGTGGCTACGGTACGAGGGGCGGCCGCCGGAGCTATGCCAGGAGGCAGAGAGCGGTAGAAGGTGAATGGGAGGACTTGGGGCAGGAAACACCAGAGGAGGGCGGGTGGGAGGAGGAGGATGAATCCGAAGAGTCCGATCCCGAGGAGGAGGGGGAGGAGGAGTGGGACGAGGAGGCAGACCGACGGCCGAAGCGGCAGGGAAGGCAAGGCGGCCACTGAAGGGAATCGTTTGGGGTATGGGGTAGGCGACTAGCAGGAGTAGGTACATTTAAGCATTTAGCACCTGGTTATGAGGTTTCCTAAGATGCGGGTTCGTGTTACTTTAGATCATTATGTTAATGTGTGGGCATAGAAGACCATGTCTCAGCAAGGGGGTTCTGTTTTGTGTGATGTCTGACTCAAGTCGTACTAAGGGTATTGTACGTTGTACTATGAACGCTTAGAAGGACGAGTGCAAGTGCACGTCCTGTGGGGCTCAGACCTGGCCTTCCCTACCCAGGGTATCTGTTTGTGGCTAAAGACAAGGCCTTTGTAACAGTAATCCGTGCATACGTGACGTTCATCCACGGCTCTCCCATGCACAAATACAAGCTGAAACCTGTACCAGGCAGTGACGTCGTATTCAGACATAAAGCAGTTACCTTTGCACATCTAACTTAAGGCAAGACACCAGACCTCTCCAGCCAGCAAGCAATGCAGTGCCTGTGCAGAGATTGCATGCAAGGAAAAGTACGTAGGGCTACCTAAGAAGTTCTTCTCGTACCCTTGTGTCAGGTGCATGCACGTAGTGCAGGCAGTTTCATCTCCAGTAGTAGTCAACAGCTCTAGCTGCACGCCACATGAGGGCTACCCATGGCCCAATAAGGTAATATCCACCTTTCAATAGCCATAGCTTCTTCATCTTATCATGTGTCCATGGGTTTCAGTGGTGGCATCGTACTGTTCGTTAGCTAGCCAGGCGGTGGACGGTGTACAGGCCCTGAAACATATCGTTTTGGTGAATCCAGCACAAAGGAAAAGCCATACATGCAACAGGGAGGTAACAAAAGGCCAACAGAGACCCACGGACCCTGCCTATTCTGTAGCTGAGTTACAACGACACTAGTTGCTTGGGTACACGGGGTCAGCAACACAATATCCCTGACATAATCCCTTTGGCTGTTGCCATGTTTCAGCACTTGACTCGTGCGTTGGGCTGTCCAGCGAGCTCCATGTCATTTTACCGGTTTGACGGAAAACACGAGACAGCCTTATATACCGCCGTTTTCCCGCAAGAGCCAATCTAATTGTAACATGCAGCATGCGCGCTTTAATGCTTTAGGCTCCCACAGCAGCAAGGAGAGTCGGGCTACTCATGGCAATCGGCGGAATGCCCCGACTCGCGCGCAAGACGTAAGCACTACTATGGGCTTCGCTAAACTAGAGTCTTCCCTGTGACTATGTTTTAGCGCGGTTTACGTGTTCGTTGGGCTGTCCAGCCAGCTCCATGTCAAGTTACCGGCTCGACAGAAGACATCTTAATTTACGCCGTCTCCCCACGAGAGTCGATTCAACAGTAACCAGTTGCATACAGGCTTTTACGCTTTGGATATAGGCAGCAAGAAGAGGCGAGCTTCTCATCATAACCGGTAGAATGCTCCGACCCAAAGACTTGCGCACAACTAGGGGCTCCTTTAACGTATACGGGTTCATAAGATGTACACGTTTTTGCTTCGTGCGTTTCCGCTTTTGCATAATATCGAGCTTCCTGCTTAGGAAGACCAAACGTTTCATACGCTAACTAGAGCTTTGCAACCATATCAAATCAAAGATTTCATGTCTTTACGTCCCAGCGCTGGGCGCAGTTCCAACTGTTTGGCAATGGTTGTCAGACCTATCCGTCGCGATTTCTGAAAAGCCCACAATTATAGCCGAAGAATGTTTGGTTTAGTATATGTTATGTGTTACAAACACTGTATGCGCACAGGGCTGCAATTGCTGCCATAGGTGCAATGGCGCCAACTAGCTGGTACGACGAGCGGGCTCACGATCCTAGTAGGAGGTCTCCTACAACTTGCATTCTCAACATATTAATACATTAAATGATATATACATAAAGGGCTTATGTTCAAGCTGTGGGCTTGCAGTTTTAAGTGCCTTGCAGGTCTCAACTAGGGAAGCTCGCGCCAAGGGTACACATCCAAGCCTGAAAGGTAAGCGGATGTGTCTTTGCTTTAACACTTCTGCATAGCATTATTCTTAGCTTCGAACAGTGAACGATTTGCGCAAGGGGAGGTATCCATTGACAAATGGATGGAGACATTCTGGTCACCACTCGCACCCTTACACGCAAACAAAGCTATCTGTGTCCTTTAATGCCACAGCATTGTTGCTTTTGGGATATTTCTTGTGAAACAACGCAGCAGAATGTAAGAAACCGAAGTGCGCGCGCTGCCATGTTCGCTTAAATTTGAACCACCCGCCAGATCGTTTTGCCCCGTAGATTAAGTCGAGTCCGTTCCCCATCCCTTGTATCCTCTTTATGCGCAGAACCTTGAAGGACTCGATTGGCTCTGAGAGCCATAAACAGCCTCAGCAAGACATGTACCCAACCAGCCCGTGAGCTGCAACGCATCATACGTATCCAGGTGAGCCGTTTGAGCACGCTCGTGTATTCCATATGCTTGCTCTCAACATTCCTCCGGAAGACCCTGGCCGTAGCTTCTTGACCTAGAAGTGCGCGGCTTGAGTCGGCCACATGGAATGAAGAGACCGAGCGCTGATCTTTTCTTGTTTGTCTTGCTTACACAACCAGCTCAAAGACATTGCTAACCTCGTCGTATTCCCTTCCTATGCTCTGCATGTGCGCTTCTGACAATGGACTACGTGCCAAGCAGCCAAGGTTGTCACAAGGCACCGTCAATTCCAGGTGTGTCCTTAGTTTAAGCGCGCCATTTCTACGCCTTTTATACTTGCTCTCGACATTCCTACGGAAGACCATGCCCAACTGCTGCTAGCAGAAGTGAGCGGGTGGTGTCTGCCACACTGAATGAAGAGACCGAGTGATGCCGCATGTAGGCAATTTACAGCTTAGACGGATAGCCGTTTGACAGCTTCTAACTCTGCCTTACTGCCTTTCATTGCCTGCATGTGCGCTTCGGACTATGGGCTACAAAATCAAGCAGTCAAGGCCGCCGTGACAAGCCCGCCCACCGTAATCCATCAGGTGGGTCATTTGCATGCGCGGATTCTGGACTCCCCAACCTTGCTCTTGACATTCCCTCGGAGGACCGTGCCCAAGGGCTTTTACAAGATGCCAGCGGGTAGTGTCCGCCACACGGAATGAAAAGACCAAGTGCTGCTCAATTTTTGCGATTTAATTTCAATACAGGCCCCTAAAACGATATCTAACCTCGCCCTACTTTTTCAATGCTATGCATGCTCGCTACTTTGTCCACCATGGACTTTTGGCTACACCGCCGCCCCCTCAAGACGATACCACGGCAGCAGGAACTCTAGCAGGTAAAATACGGTAATTTAATCGCCAGAATGCTATGCCACCCCGTTAAATTGCCTGCCTTCCCATGCCATGTAGGCTGCGCCATTTATGGCCCCTAAACGCAAGTCGCCCGAGAATTTAACGCTACTTGGGCGCCTGACCTTTTTCCTCCAGAAAAGACTCGAGGTTATTGAGGTAAGGCGGTGTTAAATTTCCAGCCTTGCAGTTGTAAATGGTTCACGCATAATTATCTTTCTTTCCATGCAGCGCCAAATCTGCGGTGGGGAAGGAGTGGAAGGCGTGTACGGGTCACTGACAATTGCAACATTAACTATAGTCCTACTGGTTCTTGTCAGAGCTGGCCTCCTACGCACGAACAGCGTCTTCGGGGACATCGGGGCTGGTGTTGGCAGGTGGGAAATGTGCACTGAAGTACGACGCTCACACATGTACTACAACTGTCGTACCTCGCTTTAACTTTGTTTACCTTCTTTCAGGACCCTGGTAATAGTCGCGTTCTTGTTCGGAATCAAAAGCATTGGCTGGGAATTGGATAAAGTAAAACGAGGAAAGGCCGAGAATTTTATTGAGAGGTTCCAGCCGCATGTTGACAAATACAAGGTGAAAGATCCTTGGAACCATTTAGAAGCCGACGTTAATTCTCTTCTGACAGCGTACAAAACACCAGAGTGTTTTTCCTGCAAACCAGACAACAGCGACGTGAGTGTACATGGTTGGGGCACGCTAGACAGGGCTTGAACCCGGCCCTAAAAGTGCCCTGATTGTTTAAAGCCGCCGTTTTCCTTGGTATTTGGCAGGTCAATTATGAAGATGTAACAGTCCTGTTCTCTTTTTGGGAGGGATTTGGTGACAAGGAAAAGGTCACTAAACACATGAAGACCGCTACTCAGCTCGAGGTGATTTGAACAGCTTGCTATTACCCTTTGTTGCATTGGTTCATGCTGATTTAACATGTTTCCTTGCCTCGCAGGCTCTTATTATCGTACAAAAGCATGAAGCTAAACCTGTCGAATTCATGGCAGGCTTAGGATTCCCCGGACTCACCCTCCTTACAAGATTGCCAATAAGAACCTCAGGTCTGATAGTATGCACGCTTAGTTGCTGGTTGGTTTCCCGTTAGCAATAATTATCTTACCAGACCTCGTCTTCTTGCAGGTGCCAACCAGACGTTTCAAGCATATATCTTCCTTACAAGTCTTGGCAAGTCCAACATGCTACCAGAAGTTAAAATACAGGAACAGGCAGGTTCAATATCACTAACGTACCCGTGTATTCTGTATGCTGCCATATATGTCATGCTCTGGTTAGGGTACGTGTTTTCGACTCACTGTTGCCCTGGCCTCCCCCTCCTGTTTAGGAATTCCTACCTCCTGCAGTGTACGACCTGCCCGTGAATGACCATACTCCGTTGTTAATTAAAATGATGCAAGAAGACGAACAGGCCAAAAAGGTAAGGCCATGATAACAGTTAGATATGAGTTACAGTATCTTGTTAGCTTCAGCGCAACCTCAAAACCACGGCATGTCGCATGGCTGCAGGCTCGGACCCTGATTCCTCCCAAAGAAGCCATTATTGCGCCAAGCCCCAATGCACAACAAGGGCAAGAGGTACGTTCCTGCTAACGAACCCTGACCTTTCATAAGCCACAAACATCAAGCCTAACTGGTCCCCTAGATAATAACTGTGCATCTGGCAAAAGGCAGCTAGTTACCATCAGCCAGAGCAAGTGGAATGCCGGTAATAGGTGTATTGCATGGCAAAAACCTCTCATCTACCCTTTCTCTATTTAGCATGACAACCACCCGACTGTACTCCTCCGCATTCTGTTTTTTGTTAGCACGGCAATCCCCCCAGTAGATGTGGCTTGCGGTTAGGCATGTTCCACAGTCACATATGTGCATCGCCGGAACACCCCGTTCACCTTCTACCATGTCTAGCTGTGCCGCATCCATCTCCTCCACGGGACACCAACTGTTATCCCATTTCCGGACCTTCTTACGATGGTTGCGTATGACAGTCTCGGACGGAGGGCCATGCACCATCCATAAGATTAACCGGTGTACATACTCCGTCTTGCTCCTTGGTTGCAGCTTCAAGGTGATGTATCGTAGCTTGTTTTTGTCATGGTGTTGGCGTTGTACAATACACTTGGCAACTGCTTCCGTGTTTGCAGCACAGTTTAGCCCGTCAACCAGTACACAAAGGCTGCGCCAGCGTGTTAGCACCTCGTCGTCCTCTTGCGGTCTTAGGTGCAAAGGATATAGGAGCAGGCAAGCCCAATGAACGTCCAAAAGACTCAGGTTAGGGCAGTTAATTTTATTGTGTAGCTTGCTCACGGCATGACACCAGTAACCGAGCTGCCAAGGTGGTACGTACTGATCGGGAAACTGCTTCTGCAAGCACGCATGAGCAACATAACCCAATGCTTTGAAGGCTCGAGCACATAGATTGCTGATGCTTCCATCCCATAGAGCTGTGGTGCCCTTGGCAGGATCAAGACGCCGAAGGACACGCAGCAAACTGTATGGGCGAATGTTGCCAGGCTGCAGTTCCAGTAGCTTTTCGATTGCTAACTCTGATGGTCCTGCTCGCATGAAGCTTTCTCCCAACGAGTTAGGAGGTGGGCACTTATGTTCCTTGTTGCCAGTCTTGACAGGATTGACTCCGAACGGCAGTTTAGCCACTGCGGCCATGTCGTACTCCTCCCTCCGACCAATAGCGTTGATGTCACATTCTGCCTGGTCCTGAATGGATACGAGTTGCTAATTTAATAAACCACCTGTTGATGCAGTTGACGACAAGTTCTTACACGCACCTGGCCGGCGGCATCGGCCGCATCCCTAGCATCCATACTTCAGTGAATAGCTCGTGTTTGCCTTATTGTTATAATGGAAATCCTAATACCTAAATGGTCAAAGAAAGCGTCCTTATTAAGAATCGATGTTCTAGTCGCAAGTGCCTTGGTAGTACACCTTAGTACTATGGTTCATGTTATTAAGCTGCGCTAATGAGACATTGTATTTGATAAAGTTGTTGTGTTGCCACCAACTTAGAAGCGCCTCCTAAGAATCTGTGTCGTACCACTACCATTCTTGAAGGAATACGAGTCTTTGCACTTTTCTGAGAGAGGGATTTCATTGCCACCTACGTTCACCCTTTCAATTTAGGATGATGCCTTTGAGCAGCTCGCCGAAGAGCCCCAGCAAGATTGCGCTGCTCTTGGGACGGCCACTCTTCAACCCGCTAGTGCGGACTTTTCAGATGTGCTGCCCACCACCGAGCACAACAAAGCACCACAGCTGGACCCGGTACAGCAGGTACGCAGCAAAGGCTGTTTTAGGTTAAACCAAGGATGTAAGATACCTACCGCCGTACATGAGGCCTTACATAACCAAACGCATTTCTTTAATCCAGGACGGCACTCAACCAGCTCAAGACACCCAGGTCGACGGCGCTGTTGAGACCCAAGCCGCCACCTCCATCAATGGCACTGGCTCTGGCGGCGGCCTTACAGCGCTACCACCCGGGCCCTCCTCTGTGCTGATGCATGGTTACACTGGCTACGGCCTTACAGGTTACGGGGACCAGGTAAGCTTGTCCAATGATATTAAACTGTACCTATATGCAGCTCGTTCTCCTCCAAAACGTAGTTCTGGGTGTTAGACGGTTTCGGTTTCAGGATTTGAGGACTACTTGCATTACCCCTGTCAGAGCAGAACGATATAGATTGCAGTCCTCCTCCTGGCATAATGATTTACACCGGCCCAATACGTGCAGGCTTTCTTCTCCAATTCGAATCCTCTGAGCACCTTCCTCTCTACGCCGGCTGGTAACCCATTCCTGGTACGTATTGCAGGATTCTTTTGGAGGGATGAACTAGGCAGGCTAGATTGTATTTTCCTTTCCCATTTTGGCATAACTATTACATGCTTATTCAACCACAGGCGGCACGGGCACTGAGGTTGTACGGCAAGCAGACAGCCAATGTAGTCATGGAGACCGAGCCCCAAGCTGCGGCAGACATGCTTGCCCTTCTTGCGTGTACGGACCCCAAGTCTTGCCTAGTGGAGTTGGTCAGGCTCAAGGACTTTCTGTCCAAGCCCAGTGCGCCCGGCCAAGGCAAGGTTGCTGCAGAGCTGGTGATGCATGCCCCTATCCTGCTCACCACGCTACTGGGCCAGGAAGCCTATGAGAACTTGTCCAAGACTAAGGGCCAGGCACGTGTCAATCTCCTTCAAGCCATGCTCCACCATCAGCTTGCTGGATACAACGGCAAATGCAATGAGAAGGTGAGTTCTGCTGCGGTTAGTGGAATGCTCTAGCCTGCATGGAGGGACGTTTTTGAGTGCTGTGCTCGAAGGGCTTTGTCAAATGTAAGCAATTACGTACCGCTGTTCATAGCTTACACATACGTCTTTGCTGTGATTTGTGCTTTTTCCTGATATGTATGAAACGGACCTGATGGCATGCCAAATAATCACTGGTCCGCAGGTGGGCTGCACGCCCTCAGTGGAGCCCCTGCCTCAAGATCGACGGCTTTCATTTGGTGTGGCTGCCTCTTCAATGGCTCCAACTATGATGCGGCCTAGGCCTTTCAGTCCCTCAGCGGCCGCCAGGACAGCTGCCCCGCCCTCAGGCCGTCCATCGTTGCCTGCCAGCTTCAAGGTATGAAAAGGGGAACAGAACGACAAGGAATGTGCTCTTTTGCTTGTTAGGATCTGCTATATAACTAGCCAAGTAGGCTGCCTGCTGCGTACAGCCCGCATAAAGTTAATTACAACCAGTTTTGATGGCTTACTGTCTTCATTTTCCCCCTTAATGTATACAGAACGAGGGTGTGACGTACAAGCAGAACAAGCTCGTGCCCTTCATCTTTGTCAGCACGTGTGGCAGTGTCTCCCGGACAACATCAGAGGGCATCAAGGTGCTAGAGGCCAAAATCCAGGTCGGCACCGGGCACCTTGTTATCAAGACAAGGCTAGCTGCTGGCAAGAACCCGAAGGAGGTCCAGGTGCGGAGGCTTGTAGCCTCGACCTTCATGTCCTCAGAGGATCTGGGGCTGCTGGGCCTGACGTCTGCCTCTGACCTCAAGGGGCACTCGTCTGGCAGTCATCAACTTGGCACCAAGGATGGTGACAAAACCAATGTTGCCCTTGACAACTTAGTCATTAAGAAGCGCGGCTGATTATTGCGCCTTATGCCAGAAAGCATGAGATGATCTAAGCTAATTTCATGTCGTACGAAATGCATGGTCTTTGCAGGATTAGAGAGACAACAACTAATGCAGGGGTGAAATTGCTGAGAAATGCAATTATTGAAGTCCGTTATGTCGTAGAATATGACACGTAATATTCGATGTTTGGCTGCAGGTGTTTATCGTGCATAGGTTGGTAAATATGGTTTCTTTTTTTGGAAACGTGCCTACGGACTTGCTTGGGATTACAGGATTGGATTCTTAATTAAATTCCACTCTTCGAGAGAGAGAGAGAGAGAGAGAGCATGAGATCGCTAAGCTGCGTGCAGGGCAGCCATTGTAAACCCTTATCCATGCATAGCTGAGTAATGAACCCAACTGAATTCGGGCACACGTAAGCAGCGTGGCAGCATGATACTGGCAGCATGAACAAAACTCTTCAGTTCACAAATTTATATCTTTGCCAATACTTAACCGTTTGACACACGAACATAAGCAGCGGCCTCAGCTAGACACATAGATTACGGGGGCACACTCCTTGCAGTTGCCCCATTGATGGCGAGCACAGGAAAAATGGGCAAAAACCGTTGTTCGTTATCACTAAAGGGGCCTTGCTACGCCCCGCCATGCACCCTAGCTACTGGCGCAGGTTCCAGTGTTGCAGGAACCGCCGCATGTACGAAAAGCGCAGCTTGGGAACCTCCTCCGGTGTCAGCTCCGGGATGGGGAGCCCCAAAGACAGGTGCTCCGCAAAGAAGATAGTGTAAACACCGCAGTCGTCCGTGTTCCCCTGCTGCGGAACCTCCACCAGCTTTACGTCCCACGTCCGCATGTCCAGGCGCACACGGTGGCGTACAGCTGCCTCACGCTTAACCCAGTGCTTCAAGTTGTTGACGAGCTCCATGTAGTCGTGCAGCTCCCTCTTCATCTGTGGCATGCATGGATATATCAAGGAAACTGCTTTACTGATGTTTTATTCTCGGTAATTATTTGGAAATTGTCAGAATTATGGCAACCGATTATATTTATACGGGCCCAAGTAGAGGGAAGGAATCAGTGTTTTGCGCTGTCGAGGATCCAAAACGATTATCCTAACGGAAAGCCCTAAAACTTACCGAGTCATAGACGCGCACTGCCTGCTTCGACATGTTGATCTCCACCAGGAACCAGTGGTTTTGGCTGAAGTGGATTGGCACCAGGACGAATTCCATCTCGTGCACCGGCGGCAAAGCCAAACCCACCTGCATAAAGAACGGACAAGGAAAATGTTTGCGAATTATAATTGATTTTAAATTTAATTAAGGCGTCCTATACAGCGCTGTTTAACCCAGTAGTAAGATTCCCACGTATCTACCTGCATCTTTTGCAGGCGCTCAGGTTTGGTCCAGCGCTGGACACGATGCCACTTGGCCCTAGGCCCCTCCTTGGTCAGCTTCCCATAGAAGAAAGACGACAGGAAGAGGCTGATGCCCGGGCCCCTATACAGCCGGCCCCTCCGTACCGTGAAGTTCCTCACCTGAAAAGGAAATCAAGGATAGGTGTAGCAGGTACAGAAGATCAAATTGGGAAGAGAATACCTTGGGGCTGTTCATTGGGGCCGGAAAATGAATAGGTTAAAAACGAACGTAAAATAAATAAAATACGAGCAATACTATGGACGACTCCTTACATTCCAACCGCACCTGCATGAAGGTAACGGCCGCGTTGATCAGTTCGTCGTTTAGCCAGGACCCGTTGCCAGGAAGACCAGGGGCAAGGCGCCGAAGGTCCTGCCGCCTAAGCTTGAGGTTTATGCCAAACCTCGCCAGGACGTCCGTGGGGCTGCCTTGACCATCGAAAATGGCAAGGGCAGCGTCCTGCTCCTTTTTGCTGGCAGATTTGAAGTATGCGAGCGCCCCTCGTGGAATGTCATCAAGCTTACCATGGCGAGTAACCACCTCCTCCTCATTGTCAGAGTCGCTGCTCACGTATTCACCATCCCCCTTGCTTCCCCCTCCCTCGCTGTTGCTGCTTGCATCGCTGTCAATCCCCTCAGCCCCCTCAGCCCCCTCAGCCCCCTCAGCCCTCTCAGCCCCCTCAGCCCCCTCAGCCCCCTCAGCCCCCTCAGCCCCCTCAGCCCCCGTAACATGACTGGTGACAGTGGGACGTGACCTCTTCATGGGTGGCAACCCAACACCATCTTCGATCTGATGAAGGCCAGCCGCGACGTCACCAGCAGCTGCCACCATGCTGTCACCAGCAGTGGCCACAATCGGAACAAGGTCACCACTTGACCCCACGAGCTCGCAGCCGGTTGCAGCTGCTGCAGGCTCTGTAGCAGCGGCGGAACCACTTGACCCCGCAAGTCCGCAGCCGGGTGCAGCTGCTGCAGGCTCTGCAGCAGCAGCGGAACCACTTGACCCCGTGAGCTTGCAGCCAGTTGCAGCTGCTGCCGTGGCCTCGACATGGGTGGTGGCAGGAGGAGCCACATAGCCACCTGCCAGTTGCTGAGGCACCGATGACGCCATGACCTCCAGTGCAGAAATCAACTCCACCAAGGGCTTCATGGCCTCCTCGTTAGGCCATGCCTGCTTGTTTCCCCTCCCAGCATCATTCTCGCTCCTGGGTTGGGTTTTATGCAACGGGGTTTAATGGAGGTTAATGATGTGGTAAAGTTTTAGGCTTGGGCTTTAATCAATAATTGTCCCTGTCTCTTGCCCTTCAACAACGGTCTCTGCCTCTTGCCCCAAACAATGATCCCTGCATCTTGGCCCCCAAAATTACGTACTTGAGCTTCTTGAGGCAGGCAACAATGGCTGGCATGTCGAATCCCGCTTGCACGCGGTCAAATGCAGACTTGATGAACCAGGCCACATGCATGGCTGCCAGGTTCTTGGGCTGCAACGGCGGCAAGCAAATAAGGTTGGGGAGGCTATGGTACTTTATACGACTGCCACTAAACCGCCACAATCCCCGTGTTTGAACACATTACTGTATGGCAAAAAGAGCACCCTGCTTACCATTGAGGCTGTCGGTGCCCACTCAATTGCTTGCAGCCACCATGTGGGAATCTCCACGAAGTTTAGCCCCTTTGCAAGCTGCCGCATGGGAGTAATTATGTTGCGGAGCTGGATGGTCTTTAGGTTGAAGGGATACAACCAGTCCATCCATTTGTTGAGCTCTGTGGGTCACAGCCAAGATATGGAAGCAATGTTAAGGGAAAGGCTCGTCAATAGCTGTCCAAACAAAGGTAGCTTAGAAGGAATGCATGGTGTCCCCTGCAAACCATAACGTCAACACAGAGTTAAGTTGTGTAGGTCATGTGGCTGATATACAGGATACCTACCGGGGTACATCGTGCGTGCATCATGCGCCCCCTCCGGTGCGATCCCACTGCCATTGCCACCCAACTGGGCATGGGGAGGAGCAGCATGATACTGGATTCCCAGTGATAGGAACAGAACGGATTTGAGAAACTCCAAGACCGGCAGAAGGCGACCAGACCATTCCACGGAGACCTCTGAGAGATGCTGATCGATTATATTGTTTGTCGCTGAACACTGAAAGTTCGTGGCACCCGTCGCAAAGACATCTACCGACATGGTGAGCGTCGCAGTCCTAGTGCCGGCAAGCAAGCACTCGTTTTGCGGGATGGCATCTCCTGGCGAGTCAGGAGAGCCTGCTAATTCTCTTGAATTAAATCCTTCCATCAGGGCCGACGTTTTATGTGTCGCCGTCGGCAGAATCTTAAGGTTCCGGGTCCTTTGTCAATGCGAACAGCTTAACCCAAATTGACAAAAGTATAATAGGATGCCAAATTCGGCTGCTAATAATTGAAGTTTGCTGTAAAGGTGAAGACGGGGACGCTACGCTTGCATCACTCGTCGGTACCAGGTAACTAGTTAACCCGGTAGATTATAGCCCACTTCAATCTTTTGTAAATAACAAGTACTGGTTTATGTATTGTTTACAAGCGGTCTCATTAGCTCTTAGCATGAAGCTCCGTACTGCTGTCGTGCTAGCCGGGCCCCATGTGCAGCTAAACCTCATGCGCGAACACATGCAACCTTGCCACATCTATGAGCACTCTAAGAGGAAGCCATAGCCGCAATCCGGGCTCAAAACAGCAAAGGGATGGAGCAGATATGGGCATCCACGTCACAAACCGCCCTCCACCAACCACCAAGCGTACGGCACCGCGTACGGCATAGCGTTTCACCCACGTTGAAGTTCGCGACCGCACTGGCACCAGTGGATAGCATATGTGAAGGGCTATCCAGGGATAGCTTGGCCGCAACAGGCGACAACGTCTTGGGTAAACGGCGGCCGTTTCCCGCATTCACCCCCATGAGGCCTTACCACCACCGTCCCCTACCGGTTACACACATTTCGCCCCAAACGCACAGCTAAACCTCATGCGCGAACACATGCAACCTTGCCACATCTATGAGCACTCTAAGAGGAAGCCATAGCCGCAATCCGGGCTCAAAACAGCAAAGGGATGGAGCAGATATGGGCATCCACGTCACAAACCGCCCTCCACCAACCACCAAGCGTACGGCACCGCGTACGGCATAGCGTTTCACCCACGTTGAAGTTCGCGACCGCACTGGCACCAGTGGATAGCATATGTGAAGGGCTATCCAGGGATAGCTTGGCCGCAACAGGCGACAACGTCTTGGGTAAACGGCGGCCGTTTCCCGCATTCACCCCCATGAGGCCTTACCACCACCGTCCCCTACCGGTTACACACATTTCGCCCCAAACGCACAGCTAAACCTCATGCGCGAACACATGCAACCTTGCCACATCTATGAGCACTCTAAGAGGAAGCCATAGCCGCAATCCGGGCTCAAAACAGCAAAGGGATGGAGCAGATATGGGCATCCACGTCACAAACCGCCCTCCACCAACCACCAAGCGTACGGCACCGCGTACGGCATAGCGTTTCACCCACGTTGAAGTTCGCGACCGCACTGGCACCAGTGGATAGCATATGTGAAGGGCTATCCAGGGCTAGCTTGGCCGCAACAGGCGACAACGTCTTGGGTAAACGGCGGCCGTTTCCCGCATTCACCCCCATGAGGCCTTACCACCACCGTCCCCTACCGGTTACACACATTTCGCCCCAAACGCACAGCTAAACCTCATGCGCGAACACATGCAACCTTGCCACATCTATGAGCACTCTAAGAGGAAGCCATAGCCGCAATCCGGGCTCAAAACAGCAAAGGGATGGAGCAGATATGGGCATCCACGTCACAAACCGCCCTCCACCAACCACCAAGCGTACGGCACCGCGTACGGCATAGCGTTTCACCCACGTTGAAGTTCGCGACCGCACTGGCACCAGTGGATAGCATATGTGAAGGGCTATCCAGGGATAGCTTGGCCGCAACAGGCGACAACGTCTTGGCCAATCCGCGGCGGATTCCGTCCGGCGCCCCCCTTAGGCCTTACCACCACCGTCCCCTACCGCTGTCACAGAAATGTCCCCAAACGCACAGCTAAACCTCATGCGCGAACACATGCAACCTTGCTGCATTACATGGTACTTCATAAGGAAGCCGTGGCCGTGACCTAGGCAAGGAACAGCAAAGGGATGGGCCCGAAATGGGCTTTCCGACTTCACACACCTACTTAACCACCCTGCATCCCTCCAGCGGTTCTGGAGCTGATCTCCTTACGAATGCTGCATTTCTAGTCTCACGGAGCACACTTCCTGATAGAATACAACCAAGGGACCTTCAGGATACCCATGATTCGCAAGTACGACGTCCATAGACAGGAGTGCAGTTGCAGACCTGCAAGTGACCGAAGTACTTCCACTTGCATGGCTCAGCATCAGTCTTGGCACAAGAGGGGACGGCGGTGTGCTGAGAGGGCCTGGCGGTGGCGACTGACGTAGAAGCATTAATTTGTGAGGTTGTGGTTTGAACGAGGAAGAGGGGGAGGCGAAGGAGGAAGGGAGGCGTTGGAGAGGAGAGAGAAGTGGCGGCGGGGAGGGGGTGGTTGGAGGAGGAGCGGTTGCAGGAGGTGAGGCTGTGAGGGCCTGGTGGGCTGCATTCATGAGGCGCGAACCTCTAGTAGAAGCGGCATGCATAGGGGAGCGATGGAGCAGGTGGAGACGTCGATGATCTAAGAGAAGGGAGTGTTTGGGGTCTGGGTGACCCATGGGCCACTTACTGGTGTTTGGGACGCTGTGCGGCTCCGTCCTGAGCAGCTTTACGCCAAATTATAAGTGCGTTGAGGACAGGGGTTACGGTGTCAGCGCTGGACCAGCCTGCAGCAGTGCAGTGGGACACACCGTGGCATGGGAGTGGGGGAGGCACAGGGATGAGCACAAGGGGGGTTGGCAGGGTTGGCAGTCACAGCAGGTCCCCATGTTGCAATCAGCAGCAGCACAGGAGCGCGCGCGGCCACACACAAGACATAAGCGTGTCCCTTACATCGCAAAGTGCGCGACCTATGAGCCAGGCAGCTGTAGAATCTGTGCTTCCCTGCTTCCTGTCCCCAGCAACACAACCATGTTCCCCTTGGTGCCTTTCGTCCATTTCCCCTTCACCCCAGCTCAGCGCCGTGCCTGCCAATGCCCCCTACGCCCCGTGAACCGTTTGCTTACGTGTTAGCACCAGTTGCTGCCACTGGGAAGGGCGCGGCAACATAGTTCCGAGCCCATGTACGTGGTACACGGAGCAGAGCCCGGTTCTGCGTCGCGCCATCGAAAGAGCGGAGAAGGTTAGGGATATCAAGTCGAATTGACAAGAAGAACTTATATAACGCGTCGATTGGCAAGCAGGTGAACGTATCGCTTGCTGTAAGGGCGGATGCGGATGCCGACGTCTGGATATGAGCCCATTAGACCCGCTAGATGCAAAACTTACTTGAGAGTATAAACGTAAGCTCGTATGTCTTTGTTTTCTCCTCAGTGCTTGTTGTCGCTGACTGGTCGACTGCGATTCTGTTTGAATAAGAAACGCACAGTCGCCAGCTGGGCCTAAGCTGACAAGGCCCTGCCTAAGTGTTCTATGTGCACTACATAACGCTACGTAACTGGCCATTGGGCAGTTCGCCTCTTGGCTAACTTGTAATGCTGGTTCGGAGGTCGCAAGCTGGTCGTAAACAGGATGTGTTACAGGGCGGACAGGCGTATATGTCTTTGCACTTAATGTAAGCATTTGCAACACCTTGAGTCACCTGCAGTGTGCTCTACCTTCGGGCGGGTGTACTGCAAGTGGCTTGTTAGTCCGTCGCCTACCTCAATAAACACATGGACCTGCAGGAAATTCAACGCTGAACACCATGGTGTGCTTGGTTTGTTGAGATATGCGCGGAAACGAAAAATCCGTACAATCATGTACGCATCGATGGCTTTACCGGCCAAAAGTTCGAGCTCAGTCGTAAACCATGTTGCCATTGAAAAAAACAAGGTATAGTAGTATGTGGTGGCCCTTTAAAAGAAAATAAAATACACCAAGTATGTGCGCTTGCATGCGCGACCCTGCTTTTCTTATCATATCCCAATACGAAAACATGCAATGAAAGGTGGTTTTGCTGTTGTTCATTATGCTTTAGTGAATGCTGCTATGTGCGCGCGCGCGTGACTCGTCGACGAATGGATGGCATGGCATTGCATGCTGAGAATGTGGTGCTGCAGGTGGCGGTGGAGCATATTGGGCTGCTGCTCTTCATGCGGCAGAGCAGCAGCAGCAGCGGCACTATGACAACTTGGTCTTGATTGGGGTCTTGATCGCTTGGTGGTGTTGCCTGTTTCGTACAATTGCCTGTCAGTTGGGAAGGAATGGATGGCTCATGGTTCATGGTGACGCCGCGGTGGTGCTGCCCCTCCCACCGGAGTTCACCATGCGCCTGCTGAGCGCCTGCTAGACAAGGGGTTTGGGGCAGGGAGAGAAGGCTCAGCAGGTGTAAAATGCAGATGCACATGATGGATAGGAGGAGGATGACCCAAAGGTAGGGTGCATGCTTGGGGTGAAAGCCATTAGTATATGCCTGTTGCTATTGGCGGGTTGCCTCTGCCCACTAGCTAGCCCACTACATGCTAGGTCTTCCCTGCCCCTTGCCGTACCCCAAACCAGCCCCAGCCGTTGGCGGCCCCTCTCCGTATTGTCTGGGAGGTGGTGGGGATTGAAGCGCCCGTGCATCTTGGCAGGAGGGACGAGGTAGGGGCAGTGACGACGGCGGCAGCGGCGGTGGCAGGGGTGTATGGGTGGAGAAGGGGATGACGCAGACCATTGCTTGGAAAGGGAGGAGCTGCGCCATCTCTCTGTTTGGTGGGGATGAGGGGAAGAGGGCAAGAAGGGTGTCAGTATGTAGTGAGAGCACGGTAAGTTGAGAGTGAGGAGAGGGACATAACGACAGGATGCATGGGGCTGCAAAGCAGGGCAGCGTACGCAGCTCTTTTCCCCCCACATGTAAAAGAGACACATCCCTCGTTCTCCCGCCCCCTCCGCCCAACCCAATACAACCCCCAGCTCACCCGTGCCCCACCCACAGACTCTACTGCGTGCTTGATACCCACAGCGTTGTGTGCTGTGCCTGTGGGGGTGGGGGGTAAACATGCACATGAAGTTAAGCAGGATGCCAGCAGGGAGGGCGGATGCGCGTTACAGGGCGAAAAGGCAGCGTGTATGCTCTTTGGCAGCGCTTATCTGTCGAAATCATGCCTGATCATGCCTGAGCACTTCTGTGCACGTCTGCTGCTCTCAACAGCGCTGCCCTCTCGTCCATTTGCGCTTGTGGGGCACTCACGTGGGGCGGGCTACCTATACATACTTAAGAGGCAGTGCTACGAACCCCCAACGCCGCCAGAGTACACGCCAGAGTACGACACAACCCGAAACCTGCGCCTCCTCCCGCCCCACACCGGCGTCGAACAACCAGTGTCTTGGCCACACCGCGCCCCGCTTACCCTGGGCTACGTACGTGGCTGGCGGATTCGTCTTGCTAGTGCTCGCCTTTGCCCTGCAACAAGAGCACATGAGGGGTGCAGCAGGTCAGGTCAGACCGCAGTGCAACAACCAAGGTGCAAGGAAGAAGACCTTTGGATACGCAGTTGAGCGTGTGGTGAGGGAATACGTTGCACAGACGGACTGTGGTTAGGTGCTCGCAACTCTACACGCAGAGCCAAGAGACTCCTGCATCACGCGGGATTGCTTCACACAAGCACAGGGCGTGGGTGGGTTGCATCGCAGCGTTACCGGCAAGGCATAATAGGCAACATAACAGGCCGGGGATGGAGGCGTTATGGGGCAAGTTGTTGATATATTTCCCCACACCGCGCCCTACTTAACCGTACGAGCTTGGAGGTGTTGGTGGGAGTAGTGACAGCAGGGCGGTGTAGGTGATGGTGACGGGCTGGGTGCTGCTGGGGAGGGCGGTGTTGAACTTGGCAACGGCGGCGGCCACAGCAGCAGCAGCAGCAGCAGCGGTCAGGTAGAGAGGTGTAGTCAGCAACTTCACCCGGCCCCCAACCAACCACCAATCGTACGGCAGGCGGGAGCGGTGCAGGAGATGGCGGTGCTGGGCGGGGCGGTGAGGTCGAGGGAGGCGGCGCGCCAGGCGGGAGGGGTGCAGGAGATGGAGGTGCGGGGCGGGGCGGTGTTTAACTGGGCGACGGCGGCGGCCACAGCAGCAGCAGCAGAAGCTGAGGGGATGGTTGGGCAACCGGGGCGTCACTGGGAGCTGGAGACTGTGGGGCGTTTTCGGGATGAAGGTGATTTCGATGGCCGCCAGGCACTGTTGGGCAGGAAAGGAAGGGAGGGAGGGGAACCGGTTTGAGTCTGAGCGTCGTATGGGTGTGTGTTTCATAGAAGAAAAGGAGGAGACAAGAGGGAGACCACCCATAACACCGTGCATTAACGGCGCCCTAACCCTTTGCCCTGAGCGTGCTGATGACCCGTGGGTCACTCACCTGTTTTGTAGGCGACGGGCCGCACGTGGAACATCACAACAGGTGATGCACGATGCAGACCAGTCAGGGGCTCCGGCCTGCAGGTGAGCTACGGCGGATGCAGACTGGGGGCTGGAGATATGGTGGTGACGTGCTGGTGAAGGCGGCTGCAAGCTGAGCAGCCGATGAAGGCAAAGTTGGGCTGGGCTGAACAGGCGAGGGAGGAAGCTGGCTGTGCGGCGGGAAGGCCGGCCGTGAGGGCTGGGCAGTGCGGGTGAGGGCGGAAGCGAGCTGGGCAGAGCGGGCCCAGAGGGGCGGAGGTGCCAGGGCTTGGGGGCGGTGAGGGCGGCAGCAGCCTGGCTGACGCTGGTTAGGGGGGAGGCAGGCTGGGCGGCGCCGGTGGGGGCTGCGCGGTTGCAACAGCGGACCAGCAGAGGCTCAGCACTGTCCTGTGTAGAGACGACTGTGGGGCGGTTTCAGGATGAAGGTGATTTCGGTGGCCGCCAGGCACTGTTGGGCAGGAAAGGAAGGGAGGGAGGGGAACCGGTTTGAGTCTGAGCGTTGTATGGGTGTGTGTTTCATAGAAGAAAAGGAGGAGACAAGAGGGAGACCACCCATAACACCGTGCATTAACGGCGCCCTAACCCCTTGCCCTGAGCGTGCTGATGACCCATGGGTCACTCACCTGTTTTGTAGGCGACGGGCCACACGTGGAACTCCTCAAAAGGTGATGGACGATGCAGACCAGTCAGGGGCTCCGGCCTGCAGGTGAGCTACGGCGGATGCTGACTGGGGGCTGGGGATATGGCGGTGACGTGCTGGTAAAGGCGGCAACAAGCTGAACAGCGGCGAAGGCAAAGTGGGGCTGGGCTGAACAGGCGAGGGAGGAAGCTGGCTGTGTGGCGGGAAGGCCGGCCGTGAGGGCTGGGCAGTGCGGGTGAGGGCGGCAGCGAGCTGGGCAGAGCGGGCCCAGAGGGTGCCCAGAGGGTGCCCAGAGGGGCGGAGGTGCCAGGGCTTGGGGGCGGTGAGGGTGGCAGCAGCCTGGCTGATGCTGGTTAGGGGGGAGGCGGGCTGGGCAGCGCCGGTGGGGGCTGGGCGGTTGCAGCAGCGGAACAGCAAAGGCTCAGCACTGTCCTGTGTAGAGACGACTGTGGGGCGGAGGGGAGGGGCGGGAGGGAGGCGGGAGGGGGAGAGGAGGCGGATAAGAAGGCATGCAAAGGAGTACGACGACAGGCAAGGGGCAGGCGTTGCTGTACAGCCCAGGCCATCCAACAGCCGCTGTGCCCTGTGTTGCAGGTGTTAGCAGGACCGCCCGGTGCCCCCCAAGTTCCCTCCTCTACACGACCCCCTTCCCTGGACCTCTGCCCGTCATACTTTGACCCAACTCACATCTGCTGCTATATAAGCTACGGCGGATGAGCGGCTGGGCGGCTCCAGCGAAGGTGGCAGCACGCCATGCAGGAAGCGGCGCAGGAGGTGGTGGTGGTGCAAGGCTGGGCGGCTCCAGCGAAGGTGGCAGCACGCCATGCAGGAAGCGGCGCAGGAGGTGGTGGTGGTGCAAGGCTGGGAAGAGAAGGTGAGGGATGGAGGCGGAACGCCAGGCGGTTGAAGTGCAGGAGATGGCGGTGTAGGCGAGGGCTGGGCGGTGAGGGCGAGGGAGGGAGAGGGCTGGGCGCTGCAGGCGAGGTCGATGTCAGGCTGGGCGGTGCTGGCGACGGCGGGCAAGTTGGTGAAGGTAACGGCACGCCAGGCGGGAGGGAGGGGGAGGAGGGACCCCCTTCCCTGCACCCGCTAAGGTCATTCATGGGGTTCTGCTGCTCCTGCCACTGCTGCTGCTGGGGCTCCGTGAGTCCACAGTGAGAGAGGGCTGCATGAAGGGGGGGCGGGAGGGAGACAGGAGCGGGAGGGAATGAGTAAGGGAACACGCACGACCGAGTATGACAGGCGGTCGGAGGAGGTACACATGGATACTGCCCAACACCATGGCGACCCACGGGTCTCAACTGTGTTGCAGGTGTTGCAGGCGCCCCCAAGTTTCCCCCGTCTTGCCATGCACCAATCCACTACACAACCCCCTTCCCTGCACAAATCCGCCCGCCCTACAATGACCCAACTCACATGTCCTGCTATAGGAGCTTAACCAATGGCGCGCGGCGGGGTGAACGCTGGCCAGTGACGTGCAGGCCAGGGAGTAGCAGTGAAGGGCTGATTGGGGCGAGGTAACAGAGACAGGGACCGAGAGGGAGGAGGAGCCAGTCCCATGAAAGAACGCATGGCTGGGCGGTGCGTTGCAGAGCTGTTCAGCGGCGGGGAGGGCTCTGAAAAGGACGGAGCAGCAGGAGAAAGAGGAGCATGCGAGAGGAAGGAGAACATGTTAGCAAGCGGGGGGGGAGAGAAGTAGTCGGGGCAGCAGCAGGGCGCAGGGTAAGCAGGGCGGCGAGAGGAGAAGAGCGCGCAAGAGGGTGAGGACGCAGGGGTGCTAACGTGGTGCTAACAGCAGTGTAGAGCAACAGAAAGGGGTTTGGAAATAGAGAGTCCCAGACAGCATCAGCCCCCGTATGCAAAAGCTGGGCTGCTGGCAACCGCCTTTCTCACCTCCATCCAACCAACCGCGCCGCTCCACTGGCACGCCCTTCCTTCACCAGCAGCCTGCCAAGCGCTTGTAACCTAAACAGAGAGGAACAGCAGACGCTGGTGTAAGTTATGGTTGCTACGCGGACACTGGAAAATGCGATGCGAGGCTCAGATGAAAGAAGCTAGCTGCACCGCAAATCACACACTCATATCAAGGAACACGATGTTGTATGTGCCAAGCCCGCGTGCACCTCATTACGGCCTCTAACGAGAGCTCGGCCCAGACACGAGCAGCAGGAGATCGCACTCATAGCAAGCGCTCCGGCCCTCCCAACGCACCTGATTTGCTAGGTGCTCCTAAACGGATGAGAAAAGCCGACGCTGCTCCAAGACGACGGCCAAAAAGTCCGAGTGCTTTCTCCGGCCCAGCACCGCCTCCAGATCGTTTGCGTCGAACTCTGTCCATAAAAACAGGACGTGAAGTATTTTACCTATTTATACATCAGTGTGTTGTAACAGTAGTGAAGTAAGCGTGCGCAGGCACAATGCGAGCCTCTGCTATGCCGCTGCTGATGTACGGCAACGGGGCATGAGGCAGCTTATTCTGCCCGCTTCCTCCAAAACCCGTAAGGAACCTGTTACTGGTATGCTTGTTTGAGCGAGTATGTGTGCGCTTTAGTGCAATTTCAGGGCTAAGCGCGGCTGGTCATGAGCTCGTCACCCTGCTCAAGGGTGACCACTCCCAACAAATCACACCTCCCACGCGGCCAATCCGGGATTCAGCGCCTTGCCTGACGTGGGCTGTGCATATTAGGCATGGGTCATAGGATAATATCAATCACAGTCGTCGCATGGTGCTCCTGGGAGTGGATGTGTGGGGGGAGTGAGCATGGGGCCTCTCCAACGAACATCCTCATCAAACAATGTGTACTTCACCCAAAGACAGTTGTGAGGCCTGTCGCCAGCTGCATGTGCACCATAAGGGAATGGAACACAGCAATTACGGGCACAGTAGGCTAAAAGACACAGCAAACACCCACATGTGATGTTGCCCTAGCTGGGAAGGGGAAAAAGCAGGCATAGTCCATCAACTGCACGTGCAACACACAGGCTGTCCAACTAGAACACAAATGTACGACAGGAGGCATATTGCCCGGGCCCTCTTGGGTCAAATAGGGCGTCAGGCGAAAAGATCCCAAGGGTAATCCGCCGACCCTTGGGCCGGAACCGCACCGAACCCTGTCAAAACCGTGGCGAACCTCAGCAACCCCACCGCACCCAGCCTGACCAAAGCACACTAAACCGTATGGAACCCCCATGCAACCGCACCCAGCTCAACCGTACTTTACCCCATGTAACCACAGTGAACCGTGCAGAACCGTGCAGAACCACACCCAACCGTAGGCAAGCAAAGCAAACCGCAACCTTTACCAGCCCACCAAACCCAACCAAATCCAATATAACCAAAACGTCAACCACCCAGCACCAAAACTAACTCTAATGTACTTCAGCCGTTGCAACCGTACCAAACCCAATCCAACCCCACAGAACCACGCCGACACGTACCCAAGCAAACCCAATCCGAACCCTCCCTCTATGAGAGCCCACCCCAGTGATACCGTTGTGAACCAAGAAACCAAACGTCAACCACAGGCCACTCCGCCAAAGTCGAACAAACCCCATGCTTGCAGACCGAACCACAGGATACCACACGCAGAAATGCACGTTTGCGATGGCTGCAGTATGCATGTTCGTCAGCATAAGTGCTGGGCGGCATGTGTCTAGGTTTGGTATGCATCTAACAGGTGCTTTGCAACCGTGTACTGCATACCGGTTCCGGACGGTAACCTGCCCTTGGCTCGACGGTAGCAGGCGCTTTATTATTTGCCAAGACACACAACACACGTCAACATATAATATGCGAGGGATGATAAAAAACATAAGACGCGTTGCCTGATGTGCCGACATTTCCAACAGAAACACTTACATCTCAAATATGGCTTAGGATAGCATGATCAGATATGCGTTAGTTGCATTGGGTAAGATGCTTTCATAGAAGCGTCTTGTGGGGAGAATATGTATTTTGTGGTGGCCAAAGCTTCAAGGGGTGTTTCGCACCAGGGACATACAATCGTAGTGACAACTAACCTAAATCATTAATGCTGTGCAGGGTCACAAGGGATCAATGAAGCGAAGGACGGAGGACGTATGGAGGCGAAAAGCCATCAGTAAAAAGGCCAAGAAGAATGGTAGGCGGCCGATTGCTATCTACGAAGACGATGAGGAGGAGGAGGAGGAGGAGCTGAGCTATCAACCAAAACGACGGACGACGGTAAGCCGAGGGCTCCCATGTGGGAGGATTGCTATCTTTCTTGCCAGGGATCCTCTGCCAGCACGCGCGCATGCTTGTAATCAGTCTTGCATTGAAAGCTTTTAAAGAAAGCTGTAGGTTATGTTAAAATATGGGCGAGGCATTGCCGCTGTCGCCTTTACCTTCGCATCCCTATCCTTGGTTGCTAACCGTGGGTGCCCTACACGCTTTGCTGTCATTCGTTATCTATGCAGGAGCGTGGTCGGATGGCTCCGGCAAATGAGGCTCGACAGCAGCGCCATGTTACAGCAGCGGAACCTCCAGGCCTCTACAGCCGCCCTGCTTTGTTTCGCACTGCTTGGGACAGCCCATCATCTCACCAGCTGTCTCTGGCTGCCATGGATGTTGACAGCGATCAGGAGGATGGGTACGGCACCCCGCCACCAGCACCACGGCAACGGTATCAACGGCAGCAATTGCCACAACCAGCGCAGCGCCAGCAGCCCCAGCGGCAGCCTCTATCCCCTCCACCTCCACCACAACGTCAGCAGCAGCAGCCCACGCCGCCGCCGCAGCTGCGACCACACCCCCAGCCGGTACAAAACCATCAGCAGCGGCAGCAGCAGGCACCTCCACCTCCCCTACCGCAGCAGCAGCGCCAGCAGCCCAGCCGCCTCTGCAAACCCAGGAAGAACCGCTACAGGACCATTGGCAGCGGCCGCCTCGATCCCCTCCACCTCCACCACAACGTCAGCAGCAGCAGCCCACGCCGCCGCCGCAGCTGCGACCACACCCCCAGCCGGTACAAAACCAACGGCAGCCGGCACCCCCACCTCCCCCACCGCAGCGCCAGCCACCGCTCCCGCCTCAACAGCAACGGCAAGCAGCAGCAACCACCACCTCCCGGGCAAATGGCTGGTCCTCGGCCACCTCCAAACGCCGTGCAACAAGCCGCCTGGGTTCGTGGTCGGCGGCAGAGACCTGCCCAGCAGCGGGGTAAGGACCCGGGCCCGCCGCCTATACCCTTCCCTTGTGATCGGGTACCGGGCGACACCAAGTGGTATCAGTTCGGCAGGGTCCGCAGTGTGGGTGAGGGCGGGGATGAGGTTGAAAGCGAGGATGAGGGCGCTGGCAGCGGTGGGCGTAAAGCCAAGCTTCCATCAAACGTGCCCCTTCTTTGCTGGCCTTCTCACGTGGTGAAGAAGAAGAAGTTTGGGCTTCTGGCTATCCTCAAGAAGATACCGGCGCAGATGCCAGTCGGCAAGGAGCTCAACCACTACGAGTGGTGGTGTACCGAGGCCTTCGACTTCACCGTCGCGGAATTCACTCAGGCCAAGAAGGAGACCTGGAATGGAATCCTGAACACGGTGTCCAAGTTCTTGGGCTTCTGCAGATTCGTGGAGTGTGTACCCCCCAAGTTCATCTCCCTGCGCTTGGCAGGCAACCCGGTAAGCCTCCTTAGTCCTATGATTGTAGTTTGGGTTTCGGTCTGCAATTCATGGGGGTGTCATGGGATGGGAGTACGTGAGGAAGAGTGAGTCGGGTCTTGCCTGTACTTGCCTGCACATGCAAGGCTGTATCTGTACGAAAGCGCCATGCCACATCCATCCTGCTCAGCATCGCTTATACCCCTTTGCGCCTGTAGACGTTGGTCATCCGCTACCTCGACTTTATGATGATGCGGTGTGCTGCTGCTCATTTGGGGACTGAGGTCTGCCGCTTGAAGCGGCTGGTCGTATACCTGGAGAGCTACGATCCTACATTGACGGACAAAGAGGTCAGTAGTATGGGAGATGCTGTGGTGCTTATTCTAGACCCATCCCCATCCATGCCTGCATGACGCAAGAACATTTGCTTTTTACATCTTCCCTACCATATATACTATTGCTTGTGTAACGCATGGTCGGTGGGGAGATATGATGCATGCAGTGTTTACCTTGTTTAATAATGTATCTTTCAATCTCCTATTAGCCTTAGCATTCTCCCCGGTATTTCCCTTTCACTGCACAGAGGGAGAAGCTCATGGACATGGTGGAGTGGCTCAAGAGGATATCCGACAGCTTCGCCGAAGCTACCCTACGCCTGCCCCGCCGCCATCTGATGTGGACTCCGACGAGGAGGACGAGGACGGACCCACGGGTCTGCCTGACAAGGTGCTGCTCCTGCGGTTCGTGATGGAGCTGCGTCAGAAGGCAGACGACGCCCTTTCCGCAGACATGGTGGCGGGTGACATCAGCTTCGAGACAGCTCTCCTTCAGAGGGACGCTCTGCTGGCTGAGTTCCTGTGCGGGCTCTATGTCCCCCCGCTGCGCCTGGCCTGCATTGCGACGCTCAAGGTGCCTGGCCGCGATGTGTGCACGCATGCGTGCTGCTCCAGGGCTAACTGCCGGGGGAATACCCTGCGTGCCTTGACAACACGCTCGGGAGAACCCACTGGCGGCATGAAGGTGGAGCTATTCCATCACAAGACGGAGCGGTTCCGCAAGAAGCCCATCACCTTCAAGCTGCCCAAGGTCCTGGCGGAACGTGCGCTGTCTTACATCAACAACATCCGGCCGATACTTGCTGGCGACGACGACACGGATGAGGAGGGGGAGGAGACCGCGCCAGTTCCCTTCCTCTTCCTTACCGGGCGAGGGAAGGCTCTTGGCATTTCGGGCGGCACCACAGTAGCAGCCTTGTGGAACCGCATCCAGCAGCAGCACAGTGCGCCATGGCAGCCATTCACAGCACGCCTTTTCCGCCACATTCACGCCAACAGCGAGTTCAATGCAGTGATTCGGGAGGTTGCTGCCGGGAGGACCCACCTGGATGGTGACGCTCAGATCATGGGCAACTCCCAAGCTGCGTGGGACTCAAACTACATCAAGGACCATGACTCCGCGATGATGCAGGCGACGGTGGATCGTCTCGAGGACTGGAGGCTGATATGTGAGCAGAAGCTTCGGCGGCAGGGCAGCGGGGGCAGCGGCGAGGAAGAGCGGCCCAGGGACGCAGCAGCAGCGGCAGGCGAGGCGCAACCGCAGGGGCATGAGGTGGCAGCGGGCAAGACTCCTCCTGAGGCAGCAGCAGGTGCACCAGAAGGCCAAGAGCAGCAGCTGCAGGGGACCGATGCACCTCAAGGCCAGGTGCCACAGCCGGGGGAGGCAGCAGCAGCGGCGGAGGGCCAGGAGCAGGAGCTGGGGGAGGCAGCAGTAGTGGCGGAGGGCCAGGAGCAGGAGCCGGGGGAGGCAGCAGCGGCGGCGGAGGGCCGGGGGCAGGAGCCGGGGGAGGCAGCAGCGGCGGTGCAAGGTGGGGAGCAGCAGCCGCAAGGACGTAGCAGCGGCTATTGGCGAGAGGTTCCAGCAGCAGCTGGCAGAACCTAGGGGTCGGCCCTCGCATGCACCAGCCCTCGCCCTCTGCTCGGCCGGCTTCGCAGGTTGTTCATGGGCAGCAGTGCTGAGGCAGATGCAGCCCAAGCCGCAAGGAGGCCACAAGGAGCGGACGGCTTTCATGGGCAGCCTAGCAGTACGGCAAGTGGGATGGGACCCAACCCCAATCGCAGCAGGAGGCAGCAGCTTGGAAGGAGGCTTTGGTGATCTGGCGGGAGGCGATGGTGGCTTGGACGCTGGTGCTAGGAGGCAGCAAGAGCTTGGAGCAGCAAGCGGCCAGGGTGATGCAAACATGGATGGTAGCATGCACGGGGGTACGGCGCATACAATGCATATCATGAGGGTGGTGACGGCGAGTTTGCGGATGCAGAGGATGGCCAGGGCCCGTTGAGGGGCATGGGCGACGATGAGGGGGGTGAGGAGGACGAGGAGGGTCGAGGGGGTGGCTACGGTACGAGGGGCGGCCGCCGGAGCTATGCCAGGAGGCAGAGAGCGGTAGAAGGTGAATGGGAGGACTTGGGGCAGGAAACACCAGAGGAGGGCGGGTGGGAGGAGGAGGATGAATCCGAAGAGTCCGATCCCGAGGAGGAGGGGGAGGAGGGAGTGGGACGAGGAGGCAGACCGACGGCCGAAGCGGCAGGGAAGGCAAGGCGGCCACTGAAGGGAATCGTTTGGGGTATGGGGTAGGCGACTAGCAGGAGTAGGTACATTTAAGCATTTAGCACCTGGTTATGAGGTTTCTAAGATGCGGGTTCGTGTTACTTTAGATCATTATGTTAAATGTGTGGGCATAGAAGACCATGTCTCAGCAAGGGGGTTCTGTTTTGTGTGATGTCTGACTCAAGTCGTACTAAGGGTATTGTACGTTGTACTATGAACGCTTAGAAGGACGAGTGCAAGTGCACGTCCTGTGGGGCTCAGACCTGGCCTTCCCCTACCCAGGGTATCTGTTGTGGCTAAAGACAAGGCCTTTGTAACAGTAATCCGTGCATACGTGACGTTCATCCACGGCTCTCCCATGCACAAATACAAGCTGAAACCTGTACCAGGCAGTGACGTCGTATTCAGACATAAAGCAGTTACCTTTGCACATCTAACTTAAGGCAAGACACCAGACCTCTCCAGCCAGCAAGCAATGCAGTGCCTGTGCAGAGATTGCATGCAAGGAAAAGTACGTAGGGCTACCTAAGAAGTTCTTCTCGTACCCTTGTGTCAGGTGCATGCACGTAGTGCAGGCAGTTTCATCTCCAGTAGTAGTCAACAGCTCTAGCTGCACGCCACATGAGGGCTACCCATGGCCCAATAAGGTAATATCCACCTTTCAATAGCCATAGCTTCTTCATCTTATCATGTGTCCATGGGTTTCAGTGGTGGCATCGTACTGTTCGTTAGCTAGCCAGGCGGTGGACGGTGTACAGGCCCTGAAACATATCGTTTTGGTGAATCCAGCACAAAGGAAAAGCCATACATGCAACAGGGAGGTAACAAAAGGCCAACAGAGACCCACGGACCCTGCCTATTCTGTAGCTGAGTTACAACGACACTAGTTGCTTGGGTACACGGGGTCAGCAACACAATATCCCTGACATAATCCCTTTGGCTGTTGCCATGTTTCAGCACTTGACTCGTGCGTTGGGCTGTCCAGCGAGCTCCATGTCATTTTACCGGTTTGACGGAAAACACGAGACAGCCTTATATACCGCCGTTTTCCCGCAAGAGCCAATCTAATTGTAACATGCAGCATGCGCGCTTTAATGCTTTAGGCTCCCACAGCAGCAAGGAGAGTCGGGCTACTCATGGCAATCGGCGGAATGCCCCGACTCGCGCGCAAGACGTAAGCACTACTATGGGCTTCGCTAAACTAGAGTCTTCCCTGTGACTATGTTTTAGCGCGGTTTACGTGTTCGTTGGGCTGTCCAGCCAGCTCCATGTCAAGTTACCGGCTCGACAGAAGACATCTTAATTTACGCCGTCTCCCCACGAGAGTCGATTCAACAGTAACCAGTTGCATACAGGCTTTTACGCTTTGGATATAGGCAGCAAGAAGAGGCGAGCTTCTCATCATAACCGGTAGAATGCTCCGACCCAAAGACTTGCGCACAACTAGGGGCTCCTTTAACGTATACGGGTTCATAAGATGTACACGTTTTTGCTTCGTGCGTTTCCGCTTTTGCATAATATCGAGCTTCCTGCTTAGGAAGACCAAACGTTTCATACGCTAACTAGAGCTTTGCAACCATATCAAATCAAAGATTTCATGTCTTTACGTCCCAGCGCTGGGCGCAGTTCCAACTGTTTGGCA